AATAAATGTGTCGCCAGCTAGCGCAGGGCTAGTTGATCCCATTGGCTGATCCCATATTGAAGCAAACTGTTAATTTCACTCGTATCGTACTCGTCCCCGCCGCCCTGACCCTGCAAACAGGGCGGTGGGTACGGTACGAGTGAAACTGTTAATAATGAGTCCCATTCGAGTAATAAAAGATCGTAGCTTATGAAATTTATATGAAAAAAATTCCTTAAAATGTGGCCAAGAGTAAGTGCATGATAAAAGTTAGGATGATGGATACCGGATACAAGAAAACTCATCATCTCTGCAATTAACAGCGCCCCCATAGGCCATCCAGGCACGGTTCTAGAATCTAGTTTCTAAAAAAATTATCATTGATCTACATGACGCCCCAACCCCCCACCCATAAAACGTTCCAGGCCCCCAAGCGCCCCCCCCCCCCCCCCCCCACTAAAAAATTCCTGGCTACGCCACTGAATACACGTTATATTCAAATGAATTTTCGTACACTCAGTTGTCACGACGTTTGACATCAAAAGATTTCATTTCATAATAAAAAGTCAAATTATCAAGCTATTATGACCGTAACAATACAGGATTTTAATTGCCACAAATACAATCCTAATGTAAGTCAACATGGATTTTTAACGTTTAAAACACTAGATTGTTACGATCATATTGTATTTATAGCTTCACGGTTTCTCACGCCATTCAAACTACTTATGCTACACATCGTGAAAACTAATTGCACGAAATTTCAATTTAATCCATTTTGAATTTCTTGAGTAGTTCATCGGAAACGAGGTTGTTCTTTTTCTTTACTTGTGCAGCATCCGTATTGATGCGTTGTTGAGACCACTACATGTATTTATGTGGCGCGCCCTCTATTATAGTGGTCTCAATCTCCACCACCAAACCCGATTTCGGGCCAACAACTCAAGAAATACACGTTACATTAAAATGAATATTCGTACACTCATTTGTCATGATGTTTGGCATCATAAGATTTCATTTCATGAAAAAAACGTCAATTAATTAAGCTATTACGACCGTAACAATACAGGATTTTATTTGCAACAAATACAATCCTAATGGAAGTTAACATGGATTTTTAACGTTTAAAACACTAGATTGTTACGATCATATTGTATTTATAGCTTCACAGTTTCTCATGCCATTCAAACTACTTATGCTACACATCGTGAAAACTAATTGCACGAAATTTCAATTGAATCCATTTTGTATTTCTTGAGTAGTTCATCGGAAACGAGGTTGTTCTTTTTCTTCACTTGTGCAGCATCCGTATTGATGCGTTGTTGAGACCACTATTTATGTGGCGCGCCCTCTATAATAGTGGTCTCGATCTCAACCACCAAACCCGATTTCGGGCCAACAACTCAAGAAATACACGTTACATTAAAATGAATATTCGTACACTCATTTGTCATGATGTTTGGCATCATAAGATTTCATTTCATGAAAAAAACGTCAATTAATTAAGCTATTACGACCGTAACAATACAGGATTTTATTTGCAACAAATACAATCCTAATGGAAGTTAACATGGATTTTTAACGTTTAAAACACTAGATTGTTACGATCATATTGTATTTATAGCTCCACGGTTTCTCACGCCATTCAAACTACTCATGCTACACATCGTGAAAACTAATTGCACGAAATTTCAATTGAATCCATTTCGAATTTCTTGAGTAGTTCATCGGAAACGAGGTTGTTCTTTTTCTTTACTTGTGCAGCATCCGTATTGATGCGTTGTTGAGACCACTATTTATGTGGCGCGCCCTCTATAATAGTGGTCTCGATCTCAACCACCAAACCCGATTTCGGGCCAACAACTGATGTTTGGCATCATCAGATTTCATTTCATGAAAAAACGTCAATTAATCAAGCTGGTAAATGTGTCTCCCCGGACAAATTACCGGTTTGTGACCCGGTTAATCTGTCCGGGGGACACATTTACCTAGGTAGATCTGTCCCCCTCCCTGGTAAATATGTCCCCCTGCCCAACGTTGAAAGTGTCCCCCTGGTAAATGTGTCCCCGTGCAAGTATCACCCATGCGATGTGTTCGTGAGCGCGCATCGCCGCAAGTACATGCTGCAAGAATTGTGGCAGCGCTTATCGCATAATGTGTACATAATGTGGAGCCCGCTACACAAAAGAAATTCAACTACTGTAATAGGATATTTCGTTACGCGCTACGATGGGAACGCAGACCAATCCAAGTAGGCGTTATATTATTGAGGCGTCCACCGTAGAATAGGGCTACACCGTACTCCGAATCGATCGAAACATTGTGTTCACATTTCACATCTAAGAAAGAGACCAAAGAGTTGTTTTTTTTTTCATCTTCATGAAGGGCAGACTAAAGAGTAAAAAATGTATACCTTGTAGAGTGAATTCATGAAAATAATATAGAGAACTCCTTCTGCGTTGCAAAACTAGGGGGACAAAAAAACCTGGAGGGGACAGAATTACCTGAAGGGGGACAGAATTAACGGGCCGGGGAGGACACTTTTACCTAGGCAATGTCCCGCCGGACACTTTTAACGGGGGACAGAATTACCGTCCACACCGGAACGGCGAATGGCATATGCGCATATGCGTTTTTCGCATTTAGTATTTTTTTTTGTAAATTTGACGATTTCTACGGATTTTCAACAGAATTGTGCAACACATCACACTTAATTAGTACCTAAAATTTCGATTAATAGTTAGTATTTGATCGTCTGAAAACGAGAGTTTGATGTTTTCGAGTCATGAAAGTTGACTTAAATTCGCCTTGTTTCTTTTTTTTTTTTCGCGTTTAACCCACTACATTGGTTTAGTTACATTATGTTTTATTATTTGACAATTTCTCCCGTTATGCAACAGAATTGTGTTACATGTCACATGAAATTAATATAAGACATTTCGATATAACGTAACAACTATTTTCTTGAGTAATCGTCCGAAAAACGAGCGTGCTGTTTTGTTTCCATATACATGTACATTTTATAAGTTGACTTTAATTCGTGTCGTATTGTCTTTCAAAAGAGGGCGCGCTACACAAAATAATAATGGTCCCCACCTAAAGAATTGTTGTCAACACTCAGTAAAAACCCCAGGTATTTCTTGGGTTATCGTCCACACAACGAGTGCGATGTTTTGTTCAGTAGTTCGGCAGGTTTTCAGTAGAATTTAAGTTAAATTAAATAGTTTTTTTCTTGTGCAGTGGTGACCGCTTTTTCTGAAGCACGCCCTCTTTTGAAAGGAAATTTTAGTTGGCTTATAGCAATTCAGTTTAGGGTCCAATTGCATCCAGGTTTCACAGAAATACAAGCTTGTGTAACCGTGAAAAATGACACACTTGGGGGAACTCGCACAAACTAAGACTCTATGGGGATTAACTAACAAAACTAAACTAAACTCAGGATCTTTGAAGGGAAGAGTCGTGAGGAAATTGAATTAATAGAGACCAGAGACGAATTCTAGATTTCAAACAAAAAAAAAGACCAAAAAAGAATTTATTCACAAGAACATATAACCAAAAACCAGAAACTAAAAGCAAAGAATAAAACCTAAAAACCAAAGACTAAAACCAAAAAAAAAGAAATTGAGACTTAAACCCTGAAATCTAAAACCAACACAGTGTGAATAGTGGATCTTTCAAAGAACATTCAAGCAGGAATAAAGTCTGTAAACAAGAAAATACAAAAAGAGAAAACATATAAGGAAATGATCTAATGAATATTCAATAAGCAATAAACAAGCTGTAATATGATCCAAAGGAAGTGGGAGACACTAATCCCCAAAGTGAAGGATTAGCAAGTAATAAAACAAGTCCAGTGGCACCATCCTATACACAGGCCATGTGAGTTAAATGAGAACAAAGAAATTGCAATGAAAAGCTAAAGCACATGGTGACGAATTTAAGAAAATCTCTAAATCTAATTCTAAGAAAATGTACAAGAAAACATGAAAATCTAGAATGCAAATGAACTTTCAACCTTTCTTAGTAATAAAACAAGGCCAAAAAATCTATCCTTAAGTAAAACCAAGGTTAATGAAAATAAACAGAACTAAGAAACTTTTCTCAAAAGAACTCAAAAGAGACCGGTTTCATTGAAAAGACTAAAGCTTCCTTATTATATACAGTAGGAACAAATCAATCATCATGAAAAGAAGTAAAAAACACTAGTGTCTTAAGTAAAATAATAAATGGAAACAAAAGTAAATCCAAAAGTTGTAAAAGAAAACTTCAAACTGGAGCTTCCTCAAAGATCTAAACTGACCAGAGTCAATTCAAAGCTAACAAACTTTCAAAAGAAAACTGCACTATATTTCTAATAATAATTATACATGATAAATGAAAAGTAGACAATATACAAAAGAAAACTCACCAAATGACTCGAGCAGACAGAGCTCAAACAGGACAGGCCGCTCTCCAGTTAGGAGGATATATAAATACTATGAAGTTGTCTCTGTTGGGGTCTGCTGGTTGATTAAAGTGTGGCTTGACCATGTGGCAGCTTTTATAGGGGGAACATGTGGGCTAAAGTAAACAACCAGGGGGACACACTACCAAGAAAGGAGGGGGGAATCTTAAGTAAAACTAAAATGATTTTCTGTTTCTAAGGGGAGCTACTCCTATTTAATACACTATAAAAATACACAAGTAATACTTGGCACTGCCACACTTGCAGTCCTGTTCACCGCTTCCATCCATCTTTTTTTTTTTTTCACAAACCCTCAATTCAAGTTCATGGCCCCCCAAATGCTCTTGCCAGAGAATTCGAGGTAGTGGAATCGCATACATCATGAGGAATGTGCAAAGCAGGGCGCCTCCAATAGTTCATCATTAAGAAACAAAAAGACATGTGATTAGATCAGCCAATCAAAAATAGCCCTTTCGTTCCCACGATACGGGGTACGCTGTCAACCTCCTTGCCAAGTTGTCGAGCAGTATGCTCCAACGAGTTCAATAAGTATGACCGTCCTCGGGGACGAGGTTGGTATACGCCGTGAATATGAACGGAAAACAAATTGCGAGTTGACCGGTGAGTTTATAAATTATAGCGTAAATTTCAGGCGCCTAACGTTAGCTTGCTTGCCTGCAAAACGTGTGTTGCTGAGTGACAGACCGTGCTGTATTCTAAGTGAGTGACTGGTCTCACTGTTCTTTTTTCAATCTTTAGCAATATTACTTATCAGCAATATCGGCTCATACTATTTCTATAGTTTTGAACGATAGTTGTGCATGGTCTCGAACTTCGAAGTCAAAGGCATCACATCAGAACATTTCAGTGTGCATGGACGCATCATCACTCAGCAGCCTCATCAGCTCAGGGATGATCAGATGATGGGTATGCTAATTTTTTATTATCGACATGATCAATATTTTCAAAACTCTATCAAAGACGTCTAAGTATCATCGTGGTTAGTTTCGTTCGGTTTACCATGTTTTGTTTTAGGTTGGACGACGTATTCTTTGCATAAAAAAATTTATGCGCTTCCCCTCCCCATCCCCCTGTAAAAAATTAGTCCGAGTAACTAGGACTCTACGAATCGTTTTTTTAACATTTGGACATGGTCGGGCGATAGTATAATGTTAAAAAAGGCGATCCGTAGAGTCCTACTCCTAGTTACTCGGACTAGTAAAAAGTACCCTTTTTAAGAAAAAAAAAGGCAGTGTATATTTTGCCGGAGACGGCAAACCTTTAGTAAACGTTAGTTTGCCGGATATGCACTGAACATGCGCAGTTAGGCCTACTGGTTTTTTGTACTTAAACATTTTCCGGTGACAAATTTTAGTCTGGCTCCATGCCAAAATTATCGTTGTAACCTCGTATTCACAAGATGGGATTCAGACCATTTTATAATTTCGGACTTAATTTAAAAAAAATCCTCCAGAGCCACAAATCTGAAAAAGAAAATGTAATACTCTGCAAAAAAATGTTTGAGACATTTTTAAATAATAAAAGAAGAATATTCTTATTTATTTGGGGATGAGAAAAAAAAACTTAAAAATGTGCTGCGGTCGGAATCGAACCCGAATCATCCCACTTACTAGAGCCTTTGCTTAACCACTACACCAAATGTGTTACACAACTTTTGGTGGGAATTTAATACATCTTATAATTCAGCCCTATCTTAAAGAGTACAGCGCCCTCTGTTGACATGGATTGCCGCCGGCAAACCTTTAGTAAATGTTAGTTTGCCGTCATTACATCCGGCAAAATATCCACTATAAAAAAAAAAACACTTTCAGAAAACGATTAAAAAAATTTAAAATATAAAAAAAATGAAATCGGGGCGTGAGTGAAAATCGATCATTAAAAAAAATCAGCCATTAGAAAGTGGACCCCGAAAGTAATTTTCGCACGCTTATAATACAGGAATAACACAAAAACGCCCAATTTTTAAAGGATAGTTGTGTGGATGTTTATATATCCTATTTTTAAGTGTTCTTTCCAATTAACATAATTTCGTTCAAAGCGCGTTTTGTTGCCCAATTGGCCGGCTGTTCCAGGATGCAGAGTCTCTTTAATCTTCTACGTTTAATTTACCACCGCCATGACCAGTTTGGTCATAAATACATGATGAACATCACTGGAGAGAGGTTTTATTGCCACCAAGCTGTCGGTAATTTCACCCTGAATTTTACTCTATCGGTAGTGTAACCATTTTCATCAATCATCTATGAAGTTAAAGGGAATGTACAACATTTGCTCTTGCTGCAATTTTCAGTAAATGGATTTGGGGGATTAGAATGTTACAATAGCAAATATTGTTAAACTGACTTGTTTCACGTTTTGGGCTTGAAGATGCTAGAAAAAAAAACAAGAAAAACATCATCTTTTAGTCTGATTTCCAGACCCCACTTAAGATGAAATGGAGTGCTTGTCCACTTTGGGGAATTGTAAGGAAAAACCGAGAAAACTGATCATGTTCTTGTAGTCTGGTTCCCTGACCCCACTTAAGATGAATCGGAGCAATTTATAGACTTTGGGGAATTGTAAGGTCAGAGAATCAGTCTAGAAGGCTTGTACCCCCTCACAGGTGTGTAATCAATTGCAAAGAAAACGCGGAAAACTACTTAAATAAAAAATTAATAGCAGTTTTTGAAAAAAAGCCAGTTTTCTCCAACGCTGGTCGGCCGACCAGCGTTGGAAAAATACCAATTTTCTTGAAAATGTCAGCACACCAGGAGCCACGATTTTACAGGGTGTTTTAGAATGTCATTCCCTAACAATCCAGTAAGATATTTCGTGATAATTTGATCGTTTAGTTTTTTGATGTTTGCAAACTATGTTACCCTTTAAAGGCAATATGCAACATTTTTACACATCAAAAAACACAATTACCAAAATTATTATGATATTTTACTTGACTGTAAGTCTGTTAGTGAGTAATAGTCTCAAGCATGGTTGGAAAAACTGACCCTTTTTCAAATATTGCCCAAATTTACCAAATTTAGTTACTGGTAGTCCATATTTTGTTTGCAATCCGTGACACCAGCCTCGACTCCATGGGCGGGTGCGCGTTCCTTATACTAACCCCTGGCCGTGATGATGACGTAAATGACGCTGATTTGCTATTCACAGCGTTCTGCGCGCGCATTTCGAAGATTGCACGCCGGGTGCGCCCATAATGCGCTTGCGTGCTTTGCACGTAACGTAACGTATAAAAAAAATTTGTTATTCAAAAGTCGCGATGCCTGTACAATATGGGTCATGGCAACCTTGTTTTTCGCTAAAAAAAACCCTGTATCTTCGGTTGTAAAGGGACGAAAGGGGTACGTACATGTACATTTAATACAAATCTTTGCTAAAAAACGCAACATCCAAACGTTTTGTTTGAAAGGATTGATTCTTCAAAATCACAACTTTTAACATTTTAAAGATGGCGTCGGCACGTAAAACGGATAAACTGCAGCCTAATTTTGACACATTTAAATTATTTTGACACATTTAAATTACACAATTCCAGGGGTTAAGATCGTGCAAGGCATGATGGGAAACAACATGGCGCAGCAGGATCGTACCCATGGGGAACGAGGTTACACATCCGTGAACAGGTGCAAGCCAGCTAGTCTGGTTCCCTGACCTTACAATTCCAAGATGTCTATAAATTGCTCCGTTTCATCTGAAGTACAAGAACAGCATTTTCTTCTTGGTTTTTCCAGCATCTATGAACACAAAACTTAAAAATTTGCTATAAAATACTAACCCTAAAAACTAAATGTTGGTTTTTGGTTTTTGGTTTTCTTCAATCCATTGGAGGGGGGGGGGGGGGTGGAGGCGGCTCTGTGAAAAATTACAAAATTGCAAGCTACACTTGTTTTTACAAGGTTTTTTTTTACTTGTTATTTTTACAAAGCAGCTGCCCCCCTCCCCCCCCCCCAAAAAAAAAAGATGTAAAATTTTGAAGATCACCAAAAACCAGAATTTAGTAAAAAAAATATCCACGTAATGAAATTCTGGTACTTTCGTGAGCAAGCTAATTCCCACCCACGTTTTGCATGTTTTATTAAATTAACCTGACCTTTTTAAGAAACACTCATCGCATCGCTATGGTGGCCAAGTTTCCATGGCTACCCACTTGTGTTGTTCAACAATTTCTCTTGCGCCCAGACACGGCCAGTATACCAAAAAAAACCTGATGCAAGTTGTGTACACATGTACGGAACACAATGTGCAACAAGAAAATCAATAAAACCAGCTTATTGTCATCGTGCTGAACTCAGTTGAGGACTCGCGACATGGCTGTTATATTGGCTAGGCAGTGGACATGATGCAGGAATAAGGTAATATCAGAAAAAATACGCCGCCTCAAAGGATATTGCCAGATATTGATTGCAATTATGTATTTTCTTGAGCTTGGTTCGGTCGGCATTCTGAATCCTGCCTGTGTGTGACAAACCAGTACCACCATATAATTTCTTGTAATAGGGGAATAAATGTGTGCTTTGGAGGTTTTTATCACTCTGTTTAAGACCGCTCGGGTAATTATCAGCACCCAGACTCCTAGCAGTCTTAAACAGAGCGATTAATACCAACCAAGCACATTTTTATTCCCATTCATAATTTTTTTTTTTTTTTTAACTTTTCTGTCAAAAAAAACCACGATTTTGTTCAACAGGTTCACTTCATTTTTTGAAACACCCCTCTACTAAATATTGGAGTGTTCAGCTCGTGAATAAGATGTAAACAACTCTTATTATGGAGATTGGCACGCGAGTCGCGCGTACTGCGCGATGTCGCGCAGATTGCACCTGGAGCGTTGTGTTGTGAATTTAGGACTTTGAAATAATGACTCACTGGTAGTGAGTGTGCAGGGTTTATTTTCTAAAACAATATGTCGGCGAAGGGAAAATGTAATATAAAATTATTCTGGTTGGAACATTTTTCTGTGTTGTCTGATGTTGAGTCATTTTACATAATTTACATGTAGGGGCGGGCATATTTTTGGTACATGAACGTGAACTTGTGTGCTCATACTAGGAAATAACTGATCATAAAGGCTAATTGTAATTCATGCTAAATGTAAGGGCAAATGAAATTTGACATGAAAGTTACAACTTTTTTGAGTAGAAATGTACTTGACATTTTTAAATTTGCGACAGGAATACATAAACTTTACTTGCTGAAAAGTCACTATTCACGTTTATTTTTCTGCTGAATATGACTATGAACCAGCCAATTGTTACTTGGAAGACTGAAAATCAGTTCAAAAAAAGTGTAGTGGGATTGGAACCTGCAACATCGGAAACCAAATCCAGGTGTTCTACCATACCAAAATGAGCTATCCAGCTTCTGATGTGTGTGTGTGTGTGTGAACAGAGACAAGACAAATTTTAGAGACCACAACTGTATATTTACATAATTGTATGCTTGTGGAGACATTTCTTTGTTCTTGTGTACTAAAGTTTTTGACTTTGAAAGTACAGTTTCAAAATGCTCTTATTTAAACCATAATTAATTTTCTTGGCTGAAATTCGGATTTAATATCCCTTTTCTAAAACCCTACCATTTGCGACGGATCAACATGCCGTGGAAATTCCTAGTTTTTAAGTAAAATCCAGATCTATTTTGTGTGGAGACGTATTCATTGCCCTGTGGAGACGTATACAATCTTTTGTTCCCTATTGTGTGCATGTCTCCAGAGGGCACGGTGTACGCAGTATTTATAGAAAAAAATGTAGATGAAAGGCAAAACCGAATTTTGAAATCGAGAGACATCAGCATATGTACAGTAAGTTGAAGAGCTCAGTTGGAAAAGCACTCTGGTGTTGACATGGCCGTGGGTTCAAATCCTGCTTCAATCGAAAGATAACCTAGTGAATTTTTTTTTGGGGGGGGGGGGCCTTGTGACTGACATGTTTTTGATGAAAACCAAAACTGTAGCTTGTACATGCTTTGTATTTTGACAGTGTATTCAGTGGTGAGTTTGCTCCGTGGACCGTGCGTGTGACTGATTAACACACTGTACATGTAGCCGTATAGCGTCAGCCAAGATGTGGCAGAGCTTTATTGATGGAGATGCGGGGTAAGCTGTCTTTCAATTTAAGAATAGTTTAATCCTTCCCTTCCTTGGGGCATTTTCATGCAGCTGTTTGCAGGCATGCAATTTTTCCCCGGATTAGCTGATTTCCTCGTTTTTCACTTTAAATGCCATTAACCATTGAAAACACTGTACAAAGTATTGTAAAGATTGGAGTTTCCTCTTTTTTGTGTGGGTTACTTGGACATTTCCACACTAATGGGCCAATTAGATAAGTTTATGGATGTTGCGTATAAAGGGTAAAAGATGAACTAGTATTTCCTTCAGTTTTTCTTATACCTTGCTATTAGTTGAAAGTGACTACATGTAGGACAAGACAAGACAAAAGATGATACCGTGTTTTGTTTGAGAAAATAACAGACATCTTTTCTGTGTGATACGTATGTAACGTGGACAGACACACTGCTAGGAAAAGGGAGCTAATAGGACAAATTCAGTTTCTAATAGGCACTTCCAGTGACATTATTAAGCCATTTTACATTGTTATCAAGCTAAAATATACCAGTTTTCACACTGGCTTCAAAATGATGTGATTAGGGTAACGTACGAACAGGGACAGACATTTTGTGACAAATGTGCAGTCTGTTTGTACGTATAAATCCTGATTATAAAATATCAAATAATTCTTCACACTGACTCTGAGTTTTCTAGGTTTTGACTGATAAGCATTCCTCTAGGGTACATCTTAAATAAGTCAACATTGGGGGATCATTAAGCTTTATGCTTACTTTGTGACTTTATCTAAAATGTCTGTCCTTCGTTACATGTAGTCCTTCGTTACATGTATGTAACACTTTTTAAAACAATATCCACTATATTTTCTAAAATGCAAAACCAGTTATATCATGCATGTGAGGACATTTGTTCGAAGCTTGCAATGTTTACAGCAGTTTTATCATCAAACTTAAAGGTCTTCTCAAATGTCACACTTTTGGGCCCATTAATGTGGAATTGCCCACTTCCAAGTTGCATGCCTGCTGTTTAGCAGAGAAATATTGCTTAACAAATTTATGATTTGCGTAACAGTACCGGTATTAAACCAATGATATTTTTGGCTGTTATTAACAACTTGCTTTTGCCAAGCAAATATGAGAGGCGTTCTGGCAAAATGAGACGGAACTGGGCACAGGCTGTAGTGGAGAAAATTGCAAAAAACCGAATGGGGGTGATTCTGTTGTTGTTGATTTTTCAGATTTATTGATATTTTGTAATCTTTGATACATGTCTACTACACAAAGTGAAAAGAAATAGTATAACAATTGTTGAATGAAAGTTTTTTTTTAAGGAAAACAATTGGCATCATTCAAATTCACGAATACAAAACTCGACACTTTAAAGGCCTTTTTCTCAGTATTTTACTTGTTTTTAAATGTCGGTAAATGCGAGCTTTAAACTGCCATAACTTGTTGACAGAATGTCTGACTGAAGTGCAACAAATGTTATTGAAAGGAGAATTCTGTTCTCTTTCCTAATACCTGCAAACCCTCATTTTGACCCCGGCGCAGTTCTGTCTCATTTTGCCAGAATGCCTTACTTATTTTATGTGCTTAGCGCATCTCTATGCTAAGAAGCACTGTGAAATAAGCATCTGGTCAGAAGGCTAAGCTCCGGGAGATTATCTCCTGTTGGTTAACATCTGGGAGCTTTCCCTGAGTTGACTTTATGTAGCCTACATTGTGGCTTGCTGACTATACCTAAATGAGTGCATGTAATCCTATTATCTATGTAAATACCATGGTGGTGGAGTTTAGAAGTGCACACCTTTGAATAGGCCTAAACCCATCCGCCGAGCTCATGAATAAAAGTTATAGGCCCTACCCTCAATATATTCTATATTAGAGAGCTCTGAGAGCTATAAAATTGTGGAATTGAAGAGATATCAATGCACCTCTGGCCCGGACTTGGGCTTCCAAATCTGAACATTGTGGATGCAGTTGGGCTCAAAAGTGGCACAATTTTGCCATGTTGTGCAGGGATCGTTTTGTAAGATGGCTACTTTTTCATTTTGGGAAAAAATAGCGGTCGTCTTCTTTGGATGAGAATGTCTCGAAAGGTCAATGGTCAAACCACCAAAACAAGAAAAGAAAATGAAAGATGACATGTTGATCATCATTTTTCTGTGCAGCTTCAATGCCTGTGAGAGTTCTGAGTATTTAAAAAAAAATATTGGATGCAATTGGGCTCGAAAGTGGCGCTATTTTGCCATGTTGTGCTGGGATCGTTTTTTTCAAGATGGCTACTTTTCCGCTTTGGGAAAACAGGGGTCGTCTTCTTTGGGTGAGAATTTCTCCAAAGGTCAATGGACAACCCACCAAAAAATGAAACGAAAATGAAAGATTAAATTTTGATCATCATTTTTCTGTGCAGCTTAAATACCTGTGACTGTGAGAGTTCTGAGTATTTTTAAAAGAATTTTTGGATGCAATTGGGCTTGAAAGTGGCGCTATTTTGCCATGTTATGGTGGGATCATTTTTCAAGATGGCTACTTTTCCGCTTTGGAAAAAATAGGGGTCATCTTCTTTGGGTGAAAAGTCAATGGTCAACACACCAAAAAATGAAAAGAAAATGAAAGATGACATGTTGATCATCATTTTTCTGTGCAGCTTCAATGCCCGTGAGAGTTCTGAATATTTTTAAAAGAATTTTTGGATGCAATTGGGCTTGGTAGTGACGCTATTTTGCCGTGTTATGGTGGGATCATTTTTTTTCAAGATGGCTACTTTTCCGCTTTGGGAAAATAGGGGTCATCTTCTTTGGGTGAGAATTTCTCGAAAAGTCAATGGTCAACCCACCCAAAAATGAAAAGAAAATGAAAGATGACATGTTGATCATCATTTTCTGTGCAGTTTACATAAAATTCCTATAATAGTTCTTAGTATTTTTAAAAGAATTTTTTGGATGCATTTGGACTTGAACATGTAGAAAATGGCGCTTTTTTGCCATGTTGTGGTGGGATCGTTTTTCAAGATGGCTACTTTTCCGCTTTGGGAAAAATAGGGGTCATCTTCTTTGGGTGAGAATTTCACGAAAAGTCAATGGTCAACCCACCAAAAAATGAAAAGAAAATGAAAGATGACATGTTGATCATCATTTTTCTGTGCAGCTTAAATACCTGTGAGAGTTCTGAGTATTTTTAAAAGAATTTTTGGATGCAATTGGGCTTGATAGTGACGCTATTTTGCCATGTTATGGTGGGATCATTTTTTTCAAGATGGCTACTTTTCCGCTTTGGGAAAAATAGGGGTTATCTTCTTTGGGTGAGATTTCTCGAAAAGTCAATGGTCAACCCACCCAAAAATGAAAAGAAAATGAAAGATGACATGTTGATCATCATTTTTCTGTGCAGCTTAAATGCCCGTGAGAGTTCCGAGTATTTATAAAAGAATTTTCGGATGCAGTTGGGATCGAAAGTGGCGCTGTTTTGCCATGTTGTGGTGGGATAGTCTTTCAAGATGGCTACTTTTCTGCTTTGAAAAATGAAAAGAAAATGACAGATGACATGTTGATCATCATTTTTCTGTGCAGCTTAAACACCTGTGAGAGTTCTGAGTATTTTCAAAAGACCAGTTTTAAATTTTCACATGTGACACGGACAGTTGGACAGTGAGTCAGAGACACATACATACATGTACATCTAGAGGACACTGCGAGTAGGTTGGCTCTCTGAAACCAATGGCAACATGCATGAAAGGGAGAACGCCCCGTAGTAATTGTGACAGGTCTACCTTCGTCATTCACACAAAGTCCTCCTAAATCTGGTGTATAAGTGATAATTGTCCTGTAAGCTATTTAGAAAATTTCAGACAAGATTAAAGGGAATATACATCATTTGCTTTTGCTGTAATTTTCAGAAATGGATGGAATTGGGGGGTTGGAAATATATAGCAAATATTGTTAAACTGACTTTTTAGAGGTTTTGGGCTCGAGAATGCTATAAAAACCAAGAAAAACAATCATTTTCCTATAGTCTGGTTCCCTGACTCCATATAAAAAGAAACAGAGCAGTTTACATACATTGGGGAATTGTAAGGTCAGGGAACCAGTCTAGCTGGCTCGTACCCGTTCATAGGTTTGTAATCGATTGCAAACAAGTGCGATGGTCAATTGGGGCCAGTATTTGAAAAAAAGCCAGTTTTTTTCCAACGCTGATCGGCCGATCAGCGTTGGAAATTGATACAAAAATACCACTTTTCTTGAATATGACACTTGACAGTATACCAGGTGCCATGATTTTACAGGATGCTTTACACTGTCATATGATTCACTAACAGTCCAGCAAGGTATTTCAAAATGATTTGGAAGTTTTATTTTTTGATGTTTGCAAATGTTGTATTTTCCCTTTAAGAGGTTTTATACGGTATGTACACCAAAATACGGGCTGTGGATGAAATTAATAATTGGTACGAGATTCTATCAAATTTATTGCGTACCTTGTCCCTGGTAACATGGCAACGGATGCTGTGAGATTAGCTTTGGTTCAGCAGCGGCGGTGCCTACGACCTCGCTATTGATTTCAATAATTAATAACGAGGTCTGTAAGCATTGCCTCCTTTCATAACGTAACACTTCGTACATGGAGAAGCTGGTTCTCTTTTGTGATTGGTTTACAGCTTTAATAGGGCTGTAACACATTGCACTTTGTACTGCATCCCTTCTCCGAGGGACCTGACATGGGTGGAAAATCAAACAAAACAAAACAGAACAAAAAGCTCAAGTAGAATACCGGTACTTTGAAAATAGCCGTGAAGGATTTGCTACTTGTTTTCAGTCATGGTGCTTGCACATGTAGTGTAAGGCCCAAAAAAAAAAATTCGGTCTCTGGTCAGCGCGCCCGTCGATTTTAACCATGCGCGTCATTCTTTTTTTTCTTCCAAAATGTTCCGCGGTAGCTCCAACAGCGCCCTCTGTTGCCGCACCTCCTCAATTTTTTTTTACCAAAGAGCACCAAGGAATGGGACATTGTACCAAGGCAAATGATTGAGGGCACTAAGGCAAATTATGGAGGACACCAATGTACATGAGGACACCAAATCAAGCAAAATAGTACCCCACTTTGTCTGTACTATCCAAGCTTGAAAAAAACAAAAAAAGCCGCGTCGCCGCATCAATTCCGGAACTTCGGCTGACCAGAGACCGACTATTTTTTTTTTTGGCCTTAATTGTTTGTTTTTTTCACTGGAGTTGGGCCAAATGTTAAGCTTGGGCTTTCTGTCAGCCTCTACTATTCATCACGCTTGTTGTATATTCTGTTTAATTTAATTGTTCATTTAAAATTTTGATGTTTGGAAAGAAATCAAATCAAATTAAAAAAAATATCATGTTTTGACAGGCTATTCAACAAGTTTGGGCCAGCCCCTCTTCCAGCCATTTCCAGCAACCAGCCTGGTGCCCAGACTCCACAGCCCAATGACTACAACCAAATTATTCCCCTCGGCGGGCGCCGGTCTCAGCTGTCCAACGTCACTGCGGTCCCGGCCTATGCGGGGGACTACACAGAGAACAGACTACGACAGGTGGAGGACAGGCTGAACATGTCTGAGCAGTCATGTCGGGCGCTACTGGAAGAAGTCGTCCGTTTGAGAGGTAATAGGAAAAGTAACTTTGTACTTTAGTCAGTTGTGTGACCTCTTGTGTAATATGTATGGGCGATCCTGTAGTTGCAGGCCTGGTTCCCTGTAAGAGAACGATATATACTTAACATTTATTTGACCTACCAAACTAGTTGGCGACATTAAGAACATGCAAGTGTGTCATAGATAGAGGGTAGGGTTTTGAATTTTTGAGGGAAATTTGGGGGTAAACTGACAATGAAAACGACAAAACGCAACACAAAAATAAAGATGGCAATCGCCGCGATGTACGGTACCGTGAACACTATCTGAGTCGCATGGCACCAACCGTAAACCTCGTAAAAAGAATTGTAATTTCTACCCCAAGAAACTGTTCAGATTTATAAAAAAAAAGGTGTCATTTGAATTTAGAGAAGTCTGCTTTAGGTTGAGAAGGTCATTTTTGAATGATAAAAAGGACCCTTGACTCTAATTTGATCGAAACTAAAGAGGGGCCCGTAACTACACGATCGCCAATTCACATACAGTGTTCTATTAAATACAAATTTAACAGGGCGGTACACACGTAGTGAGTAAAAGCTTAAATTGCTGTAATGATAGGAATCAATGAAGCCTAAATTCGAATTTGTTGTTGCATGTAGCTGGTAAGTTAATTACATGTAGGTGATGTAAAAATCATCAAAACATTTAGGGGGAGGTACAAAATTTGAATGGGATAGCGCAGAAGTTTAGCTGAAAGCCTGCCTTCCTTAAGCTAGAAATGGCATTAATTTGGCTCACCCCCCTAAAGCTTTTTATGGAAAACAATATACTTTTTTTTTGCTTGTGAGAAAGGGGTTGTCAGAATCTCAAGGTTTGACCATGGGTGGAACAAAGAGATTTCAAATAGTGTGAATTTGAAAAGGGCATATTACCCGTGGTGTAACAAATGAAATTCTTAACCTAGGGGAGTTGAAGCAGTCGCACCTGCGCTCAGATGAAGCCATCCAGAGCGAGCGCCAATCCCGCCAGCAGCTGGCCGACAGCATCCGGTCCAGCAACGATCTGATCGGTCAGCTGGGAGCGAGGCTCAAGCGGGCCGAGGAGCGCGTGTCGGACGAGAGGACAGCCGTAGGGGCGCTGGTCAACCACACCAAGCAGGTGGAGCAAGCGGTGCTGGGGAGCCAACAAGAATTGGTGGCCAGGAGAGACCAGCAACTTACTAAGTAAGTAAGGGCAAGTCTCAATTCATAACCGAGTTCCGGACAAGTTGCGGGTAGAATCAATCACTTTGTCTGGAAGAAGCTCTGCATTTGTCCTGGATATGTTCCGGGGAAATTTAGCAACTGCTTGACTCACCAATACTGATAACTTCATTGCGGGAAGATTGCAGGGAAGTTCATCGCAAAATACGAAGCGTCCTTTTTCTAACCAGTTTTATGCCATAAAAATACATAAACGAGACTATAATACCGAGGCAACGTGTGTAAAGTTGTAAATAGAAAATGCATTGCACAGTTATGATTATGAATTAGCCTGGAATATTGCAGTTGAAATTTGGAAGTAGCTATACAGTCTGCTGAGAGCTTGTTTTCGTTTAAAATTGCATCACATGTCTGCCATTTTGTTATACGTTTTAAACAATTTCAAGAGGAGATCTGACGACTCTTTTGTTGAATATCAGAGGACTATTTACTGTACGCTGACTAAATACATGTACATCTAGTTGTGCTATAAATACATCTACGACGCGTCGCACGTACCGGTACGACGTGTTTTGTGAAATGGATCGCAGGACACATCGCAGCTGTGACACATCCTAGGGATACGACGCGTCGCAGCGCTGAGATGCATCGTAAGTTACGATGAGTTTCATGAAATCGGGTGCTGGTCACACAGTGGGACTACCCATATCATCCCTGGTAAATTCAACCCCACTTTTACATCAGTTGCAAAGAATTTGCAAATTGGTCTAAGGCAAAGTATTGGAATTTGGAAGATTCACATATTTTCCTAGGCCAATATGTCCAGGCAGTTTGTATGAACTTCAGAGTTAAGGCCGATTCATACATGTACCTCCCAGGAGTGAATGTGAAAGCATGTCAGGAAGAAAAACATTTTCTGCAGAATTTGCCAGAGTTGCAATGTGTCCAACTTGTGTGAATCTCAGTGCAGAGACTTCTGTGATGTCACAAGGCTTTTAGAATGTCAGATTTTGATGGTACTGTGTTCAACTTCAGCAATTTGGTTTGTGGAGTGCCATGGCTTCGTGGTCTGGGGCATTGAATTCGTGGTCTGCAGGTAATTCTGCAGGCTGTTGGTTCGATTCCCGTCTGAGGTTACGATGCGTGTGCCCTTGGGCAAGGCGCTTTGTCACTCATTGCTTCTCTCCACCCAGGAGTCAATGGGTACCTGTGAGGGCAGAGATGGTAAGTGTGATTGATTGTAGCTGCCTTGCGCCAAAATGGCAGCATCAAGGTGTATACTCCCCAGGGAGCTGAGATTGTATTTGGAATGTTTCATTGGCCCAATGATCAGGGGTAATAATAATGTAAAGCGCTTCGATCTTAGTTAAAGCGCTTCGATCTTAGTTAAAGCGCTATATAAGAACCTGTTATTTTTATTATTACTATTTTTTAAAAAGTCATTTCGTGATAACAAATTTGCTAGAATCGCTGAGCTTCGCAACGACCTGGACGAGGCCAATCGGCTGAGGGAGCAGCTGGAGAGAGCAACCACAACCTTGGTGGATGAAGTGCGCGCCATCAAGGGCAAAGTGGACACTCAGCACATGGAATCGACCAGCATTGTGCATGACGTCAAGGAGCGCACCAAGAGACTAGAGGAGGACAACAGAACACTGGTGAGCAGCAAAACATTCAAGTTTTCAAAAGTGTTGATTTTTTTTCAAAAATCTTGTACAACTCTACATATGTCTTGTGATAAAATCGTCAGGAGTTTGGTTTAGAAGCAAACCAGGTTAACTTCACTGTGATTGTGTCCTTGGGCAAGGCATTTTACTGCATTTGGTGATGACCCTGTGTAGTTGCATGGGCTCCCTGCGTGAACAAGAGAGGGCGCTTTTTGCGTATGGGGCAATTCCACGGTAACGGAAGGACATTTTCGAAGGCTGAAATATTAGAAGTCACTAAAGCGAAACAAATTACGCAAAACATTAAAAACAAGTTTCAGTCAGTTTTTCAAGGCCAATACTTTCTCATGACAGAAACTGATGGCATTAGTACATATTTTTGTGTGTGTATTGGTAGAATACTTTCATATCACTATTAATCACATTTTTAGGATTAAAACAGGATTATTACGTAATCCTATTTGTTGGTACCGAAATGTATCAAAAATAAAATTCCGACTTCAAATCTTGAAAATATAAACTTTTAGCTTTCATTTGATGCCAAATTTGTTTAAGTCACATGTATTTGAATTTTTGGTGTCATGTCCACTTTGGTGTGGAATTGCCCTATGCGTAATGGTTTGCGCGCACCTATTGCACAAAGTACGCACAACTAAATTTATTCTGAATGCGCAAAAAGCCATAGCGTCTTCGCGTGAGTGTCAGGCGTCGTCAGCAGTGCGTTCAAATGTCTCTCCCAGTGGTCTCCCCCAACTCTCCCTTTCTTACCGTTGAGGGGGTACTTGTGCACGGAGCCCTTACTCCCAAAGGAGTGAACGTGTTTGAAGGAGTTGTTGTTGGCTATTTGACCGATTGACCTACATGTATCGCCGTTTGCGAGTTAACCATCCCCTTAGACAACCCTGGAATTTTGTACGTTAAGTTTTGTTTGTGGCAGATTTTGCGCGTTCCGCGTCCATTTGTATATCGTGTGTAATTGGACAATATTTCACAAGCTGCGTTCATGCAATTCTATCGCGATAGGTTAATTTTCATCCTCTTTGAAGTAAAGTAATACAAACCTTTTTTTGTCTAAACAACATGGATTTAACTTTGTGTCTTTGTTGTACTTGTATTTTCCTGCTCTGTTAAGTGCATTGAGGTCGAAAAATATTTGATATTTGAAGTGTTAATACCTAAGTGTTTGCTATTGTTACTGATGCTGTATATTGTGTAATGTTGATCTATGCATCTGTGTTCTACTTCGGAGTAACAGAAGGTAAGAAACGTTACAGAACGTGGTCCCCACTTATTCATTGCTGTGTGTTTCCTTCTTTGCCAAACCCATAACAGTGCACTCAAAAGTCAGTACAAAATTGTCTCTGTACAAAATACATGCGTGAATCATGAAGTTCACTGTTTTTTCGTGGGACATGCAATGCAAAATAGGCAGTTCCAGTAAGCAGCAACTGTTGAATAGAATGAAGACAGATTTCAAATGAGAAACTTAAAATGACTGATGGAGAAAGATTAGCATCAGTCTACTTCAGTGCAAAGTCATGCAGTTTCTGACTCTTTTGGCCACAAATGGCATATGAATTAATATTTTGTTAATGGTCCGTGAGGACACATAAGAAATTTATTGCGATTCCACTCTGTAATGATGTTGCCAGAGCAGTTGTTTGATATGAGTTGACATCAATTCGGCATCGGCACTACGAACTGACACCCTCACACAAGTGGGTGTCAGTTCGTGAAAACCACGTAATCAACAATTTCAGTTTCATGAACTGACACCCAATAGTGCACGCGTGCATCAGACACTGACGCAAAATAGGAAGATTTTCATTTTCACGAGCTATCACCCAAGCATGATGCAGCAATACAGAACGGAGAAAAACGATGGAAAGGTTTTACACGAATTTAATCCATCCGTATACTTGTATGCTTACACAAACATTTTATTAAAAACCGTTTTAATTGGTGAAGTTAAAGATATAGTCCATCATTTGTAATTTGTGCATTTTGTTCGTTTGAAGCAACAAAAGTGTTCAAAATCTAATGAAGGATACTGAACAACTAACCTGATGAAGTTTCAGCTCAGCTTCAGCTGTATATTCCGAGAAAAACAGCATTCGAGGATCTCAATTTCAGATCAAAAGTTGCTGAATCATGTTTTGAATTGGGCCTGAATTCAGCGTCCGAGACGCGTTCTCACTGAGCCGATTGCAGCTATACGTGATGTCGCGCACTAATCTGACATAGCAACCGCGTGTCTGTGTGTGCATCGTGCCAATGCTTGTGCGCGCTTCGCCGAATAACAAAACGAACTACTAATTTAAATTTTTCTACGGTGTGTCATAAGAAGCACCGTTGGAAAGGCCTTCTTTTGTTGATTACTTCAAAATGACAGCTAGCCAGAAAGAATAATTTCACAGGGAGGTTAGTCCCCTTACTATCTTTCAACCAAGTATGTTTTTCGACAATAATTACGCCAGTTACTTTTCGGATGGCTACAAATGATGGACTATAGCTTTAAGTTCAGTGTCGTTTCGTGAAACCGAAAATGTACGGGGTGCGCTCTAACAGCTGCACTGTGGAGGATGTCAGTTCGTGAAACCCAAAATATCCCGGTTTCTGTAAAATACGTACGCGTGCAGCGCACTCACTCATGGTGCCGATGACGATTTTGACACAGCCATCCCGTCCTGAATCTTGCACTTCAATCCAAACACACGTCAGTGCAATTAACAATTGTGGATCCTGTTTGACTAAAACCCCAAAGTTCTTGCTGTGATCAGCCCACACAGTCCTGTGTACCTATGTCAGTGGCTCTGTATGTGTGTACGTACATGTATGCCTTGTTTGACGATTGTGTTTATGTCCTCTGTGTCCCCACCTTGCACGTTTTCTCTCGTCTAGATCTCTAGATATCGCATCCAGCATAGCGACCAGGAGTTGAACTCTGACAAGAACCTGACCCAGCTCAGGTTACAGATGAGTGCCAGGTAGAGTATGCATGGCTGGTAACCATCCACGGTCAACCGGTATCCATCAACTCATTGCTACACGCGGGACCTGTTGTCTTTTATATCGTTGGTCGCGCCACAAAGTGACGTATTGTGGACAGTTGCCCTACCAGGAGGTGACGTATTGCGTGCAAAAGTGTAATAGACGTTACGTCACTTACACTGTACTGGTGCGGTAAAACTATCACGTTCGTCACTTCGTAGTGCACCCAGCGATATTTTTGGTAAAGTGGCGGTCATAGAGCTATATTAACTTACTACATGTAATAGTTTTGGATGCGTCCGGGACTCAGTCTTTTGAATGAATGTGCTTCATTATGGAGCATAATTATTTAAATTAGATGAAATGGATCACAATTGAGCTTTACAAACTATTCAGGAATAAGTACATGAAACGGGCTGCACAGGTGCTATTTCATGATAATGGAGAAAAAAAATCTGCAGTGCATATTGTATACGCAAACTTTGCTTTGTTAGCGCAGAGCAAAATGAAATACCCGTTTACTGATTATGTGTTGTGGTTTTGTGCATATCAGCTTCGTTTACACATTGGTTTCAAATACACATTGCAGATATAGCCGTGCAAAAGCCCTACGAAAAGTGTTTTCCGTAAGTTTGTACACAAATATGGATGCTCCCAGCAGGCTACATTGTACACGAGTTAACTCGCTAGTCATTTTAATATAGCTCTATGATCGTACAATAGTAGAACTGGTTGGGCTACAACACTGGTTATAACATTACCTATTGTATCACCGCTGGTTTACCCACATTATTTAAATTTTTACAATGCTTTTAAAAAAAAAATTGCAAAAATTACAGTTTGGTGAAGGCATTTCACTGCAATTCCATTGTGCACTCACATGTACATATTTTGATCAAGCCTTTTCCACTAAAAATTTCATTAAAAGTTGCACTTTTCAAGTGAAAAATTGTCATCCGTTCTGAACCAGAATGTCATTCATAATGGTGTTGTGCACAAACTGCTTCATAGCAATTTCTGCAGTTTCCATAACCAATTTGATCCAGTTGTTAAAGGGAATGTACATCATTGACTTTTGCTGTAAATTTCAGAAATGAACTATTTGAGGGAGTAGTATAATAGATCAAATATTGTTACACTGACAAGTTTGAAGGTTTGTGTTCGAAAATGCTGGAAAAACCAAGAAAAACAAAAAAATGTTCCAGTAGTCTGGTTCCCTGTCTCCACTAAAATGAAATGACTTACTTTATAGATGCCAGAAACTTGTAAGGTAAGGAAACCAATCTGGCTGGCCTGCACCCGTTCATGAACATGTAACCAATAGCAAACAAAATTTGGACTGAAAAAAAATAAATGGGAAATTTGGAGCAGTAGTTGAAAAATAGTTAGGTTTTTCCAACGGTGGTCAGCCGACCGCCGTTGATAATTTATACAAAATACAACTTTTCTTGAAAATGACTTCACACCAGGTGCCACAATTTTACGGGCGTTTAGACTTTCATTTACCATTTCATAAAAATTTGGTAGTTTTGTTTTCCAATGTTTGCAAATGTTGGATATTCCCTTTAATACAATCTGCACATTTTTTTCCTCAGCATTTTGAATTGAAATTTAATTGGGACTAACGCTGAAAAATAGCGTGATTACTATGACTAAATGGTATCCAGTGGTTTAATGGATCTACAGTTTAGGCCCACATGACCAGTTCTATATTGTCCCCGTTAATTTATTGCTGTCATTGGTCTCACGTGTAGCAGTCATTTGATGAGTCTGGTGTTGTGTGCGTGTGTGTAATGACTACTCATAAACGTGACAAATCGACTGTAACGAAAGTCCTTGAGGCAGAGAACACAATGAGACAATTAGCGTGTGATTATTGCAGTGCCCGCTTCATTATTCATGTAAATGCTTCAATCGGTGTGTAGGCTTCACTCGTTCCTCACCGCTGTGCGATATGGAATGCAAAAGGTGCATGCCTTTTGTATTCGCGAGTTTTTCTGCGGGCGACTTGACTGCGAAGCGGCTGAAGTGGTCCGTGGGTGAAGACTTGTAACTGCGCAATATGCCTTGGGTGTGGAATGGACAGAACTGTTTCACAGACCAAAGATATTCTCATTTGTAAATGATCATTGTAGGAAAATACTGCAATGAAAGCCATGTAAAAAAAAAACCTAGTTTCTTGTTTCTGCCCGTTTCCTTTTTTCCCAACCAACTTGAATTTTTGAATTTTTTTAAATTCATATTTGCACATATATATCGACGCACATATATTGTCAGTATATTGTCTTTTTATTTGTTTCCAACAAAATTGTTGCTATGTAAAAAGTGTTATGGTTCCTTTGGACACAATTTTGTATTAGCAACAAATTCGGAAAAAATTTAAGAAATCCATCTGCCATCTTGGAAAACTTGCCATCTTAGGGAGGGGGGAGTGCCCGCCTCCTTATTTTTGCAAAAAGGGTCCGGATGACAAACTACTTACTTTTTTTTTTACTCGGCCTAACAATACATGCCATGAAGTTTTCACTGACACTGCATTTTGTATTTTGGTTGTGCCGAAAAAAAATAATAAATAAATGAAAAAGAAAAATGAGAAAAGAAAAAATAAGAGAAAAGTGCTTCATTTTTGGGGGGCTGAAACTGAAGAGATAGCATCCGAAAAGCTCGAACATCTTATTCCGCAAGGAATATTTATTTCTTGTGAAGTGGGCCTGATTTGATGAAGTTGTCTCAAAAGTTGAATGTCTCATTTTGTTTTTGCTTTTCAAGTGAAACTCTCCTACAGTCATCACCGGCATGCCTTTAATCATTTTTTGTTTACTCATCATCATTTGCAGTGTATCATGACTCACATTTTGTTTTGCTAACCAATAATTAATAACAGCTTTGATATGACAGATTTTATTTTCATCTTCGATTGACAACAGCTAACAAAGGAAAATGAGTATACAGTACAGTTTATATGAAGTGAGGATGCTCCAAAAATGAAACCCATTTTGATTTTGTCTACACCGACATTCTGTTTTAATACTGAGCTTTGTACACTTGGCAAAACCCAATGTTAACTGTTACCCTTTCGGGATGCAATAAACGATCATTCAAGAAACTCACTTGGAAAAAGTTGCGAAACTTGCGTTTCATTTAACATGCATCCCTATGAGAATTGTTTTCGTTTTGCTGAAAGAACACTTACTTTTGATGTGATCTGTGGACAGAACTTTAAAACGGTATTTGTGTTCAAAATTCCATAACTTGAAAAGTGCATTGAGTGATTTGAATGATTCTTGTACTAAAAGAAAGCTTAATGACTGGGCTTTCATATCCTAGATTTTGAAAGTGCTACATGCAAAACTTCATTCCAAAATTAGTCCTGCCATTTGGGTTTCCATTTTTTTTTTACTCACCCTGTACAGAGGAACTTGGTCAATTGAGAATTTATAGTATCAATTGACATATTGTGTTGAAAGCCATCCAATTTTATAATTGGAGTCAGGTTTCAGAAGTTCTTAACTACAACATCATTCAATTTGGGTGTTTCACAGTGCAGTGCACCACCAAGAGTTTGCCATGGAGAGTTCATTTTTCCCAGTGCATTGTGGGAGATGGTCGCGAATTCGCAGCGCGGGACATTTGAAATTGTTCGTTTTTCCGATCAATTGTTTCGTAAGCGTGTGAATCAAGTATCTGTTTGCCCTTTTCTTTTTATCGATATGGTGTTTTTTGTAAGGCGGCAGAACGCTATGCCCCAATCTATAACAAATTAGCTCAAGTTATCTACTGACACTCATTCACATGGGCCATGTTTTGTCGACTGTAAACTTAAAAAATGGACTCTCCGTGGCAAACTCTTGGTGGTGCACTGCATGAATTGTCCGAATTCAGCATGGCAACGTACATACATGTACATGTATACTCATTTCCCCATCCATCCATTGCATGACTTCGGTGCCATTTCTCATCTCCGGGGCTTTCTGTTCATGAATCTTTTAATGCTGCTATAAGATGGATCACCAGCGTAAAATGCATGAGAGTCAACACTCATCCGAGCAGACTACATCCCTGCTCAGGACTCAGCTGGATGCTAGGTAACTGCCTAAACCCTTCCATTTCTCTTTCCTCTCATTGATATCCGCATTTCTATGCCGTTCCTATTTTCATAATATGAACTTTGTGTCTGGTGATATTAATCAATATTAGGTCGTGGGTTCGAATCCCATCGGAGTGATTTTTTTTTCAACTTTCACTCGGGAGGTGGCACATTGAGTATATAGTGTTAATAAGTCGGTGAAAGGCAAAACTTAATTTTGACTTTCCTGTTTTGTTAACTGCATTTGTATCACCAAAATCCAAACTGGAGTGTAGAGTTTTTTTTTTCCCCAAAACGTTGAAAATTAAGGATGTGATATTTACATGTTTTAAACTTTTAAAGGGATATATACTTGGAATGCGTCCAGTTCGGCTACAAAACAAGTTTTAAACAAAACAATATTTATCGGAAAGAGCATTTAAAAGAATGATGTAACTTTCCACACAACAGTTCTTTTAAAGCCGGGCGTTTTGGGGTTATTCTTACGAGAACGAATTGCGGGGGTCAACATTTTGGCTCTTGAAAAGCGAGCTGTTGGGTGCTAGTCGTGAATCCAGCCGCACGTGTTCCACCAGTGCATCGCATTCTGTGGACGGGCGGGAAACAAAATGTGTGTATTGGTGCTGTGTGTATTTTGTGTCACACACACTGTACTTTGAATTGACACGGCTAGAAATACATGTACATCCGTATGCCATAAATATCTGCTGCATCCGATGTAAACAACCAGGGTTTTTTTCCCATCATTTCTCAGTAACTTCCTTTCCTTTCAACCAGACCTTTGAATTAAGATAAGTAAACGATCCAAAACATAACAAATTTCGGGGATTTCAGGCCGTGAAGCCCCTTTAAATGAAAACAATTCTAAATCCGTTTACCACTTTTCAACAAAAAAAATGTTTAAACAAAACCTGCATTTTAAATAAGTAACCGACGTTCACTCCATCTTCCTTTGAGTTAAACGTACAAAGCACAAGTAATTAACGATGTTTTTAAACCTATTTGATATACAAAACCTTAGAAGCGCTGCAGTGCTTGATAACATTCAGGGTTCACGTAGTTAAATTTTTATTTTTTCAATGACTGGCCGCTATTTATTATGTCAATCCATGGCCATTGTTGATTTTGTCATGTCAATCACGCCGGTCTGCAGACATAATAGGCAGGCATCGGCCTTTGTGAAATGCCTAAATGTTTAAACATTTAAACAGTATTCTAAATATTTGCTGAACGTTTGCAATATTAAATGCAAATTCACATCCTCATTGCAGATTTGAAGCGATAAGTACATTTTGATACTTTTTGAAAATTACGGAACATTTGACATACCGGTTGACAAGCCCCATTCTTATGACTACACTTATAAAAGAGAATGTACATCATTGGATTTTGCTGTAATTTTCAGAAATAAACTATTTGAGGGGTTAGTATGATAGATCAAATTTTGTTACACTGACATGTTTGAAGTTTTGTGTTCGAAAATGCTGGAAAAACCAAGAGAAACAAATATGTTCAAGTAGTCTGGTTCCCTGACTCCACTAAATATGAAATGGATCAATTTATAGATGCCGGAAAATTGTAAGGTAACGGAACTGCAGTCTAGCTGGCCTGCACCCGTTTGTGAACATGTTACCAATAGCAAACAAAATTGGGACTGAAAAAATGGTAAATTTGGAGCAGTAGTTGAAAAATAGTTAGGTTTTTCCATCTGTGGTCGGCCGACCACCGTTGGAAATGTACACAAAAATACAATTTTCTTGAAAACGACTTCACACCAGGTGCCATAATTTTGCAGGATGCTTTAGACTGTCATTTACCAACATTCTAGTATAGTATTTCATAAAAACGTGGTAGTTTTATTTTTCGATGTTTGCAAATGTTGTATATTCCCTTTAATTTCTTATAACTGAAATTTGCCAGCATGATTAATTATGGTAAACCATTGGAGCTTTTTGCATGTTTTCCTTGAACACGGCCAGTAACAAATGAATTATCTACTCTGTTGGACTTCCTGAGTAAATACGTCAAAACACTCTCGCTATTCCCAACAATAACATGTAAGTGTTTTCATGGCAGCTTTTGTGCACACTGAATAGCACTTTTTGTGAGTAGTGGTTGTCATGGTGATCGTGTCCATTTTAAGCCATTTACGTCAGCACCGATTTTTGTGTGTGAAATTTAAATTCAAAAGATTCAAAAGAAGTAAAGTCCATTCACGCTGGATGTCTGAATCTGAAGCTTTCCTTTATATTATCGACTACGGTAGTAATTATCGACTACGGTAGTAATTAAGTGTCTGGCTTCTTAAAAATAATTTATATCCAAAGTGACATGTAATGGTCAGATTTTTCCAAGTTTGGATTTTCTTAAGTGAGCACTGGAAAAAGTATTCCCAAATATTGAAAATAGTGGAGAAAACATAAAAATAAAAGTACATTCTCGGTAGCTATTCACTTCCATGCTGATAATTTTAATTTCCCAGAATGCTTGGCAGATGATACCTGACAATTCTTGTTGATCTAATGTCAATTTGTAAACAGAAAACATGATGTTGTTGTTTGGGGGAAAAAAATAAACATATTCCCCAGTACATAAACCAACAAAAACTCAAAACAATGATTAAAAAGTTTTTGAATGATTCACCATGGTAACCGTCACCATGGAGATGCCAGAATCGGTTTTGGCACAATACTGAGCCCAAGGAAAGCAATTCAGTGTCATGCTGGGCCCAATTTAATGGCACTGCTTACTGTTAAGCGAAAAATGCCTGCTTACTATAGCAGAATATTCCATGCTTGCGCTAAGCGTATTTCATGGGTTAGCGAGGAATTTTGGCTTCTGCGCATGCGTACATCCCGTAACTAAGAATTCTGTGCTTACACGGTTAGCACGTAATTATTCTGCTAGCGCGGTTAGCGCAACATGCAGATCAAAAGCAAGGAATTCTGTGGTTAGTAGAGCCATAAAATTGGGCCCAGATGTACCGCAGCAAGAGTAATTATTTAAAAAGAGATATCTTCCACCTGAGTTGATCTTCATATTTTATTAGACGTAAATTTATACAAAAAAAATGCCCAGACATGTTCATATTAGCGGTCCAGGCCTGCTGCATTGATGCAGAAAATGCCTTATTGAAGTGTACGGATATTAAAAGCGCTCCTTTGTAATGAAAGAACAACCTTGACAATGAGCAGGTCATTGTTGGCAAAGCTACGCTTGAACTTCCTCCAAAATTTGCCGGCAATTAAGGGGTTTCGGCTCACTGATTCGGAATGGGATCCGTTCACCATAAATTAACTGGCATAAAACATTGATCATGCGCCAAGGATGATGCTACTTTACATAATTATCATTGATTAATAAATCAGAAACATTTCAAGGAAATTTAATTCAAGGTTTTTTAAACCCTCATTGAAATTTCCACAACTCTATTTGGTAAATTTATTTTGTTTTCATCTCGTATTTTCTTTACTTTGCAATATTGTATTTTGAAGATATGGTATCCTCTTTCGATAACCATTGACCAAATATGGACACAGATCCTACGGTCAGAAAAATTAATCTTTTTTTTTTAGGATTTCTTATTTTATTTTTAATTTTGCCAGCTTGTGTTCTGTCCATGAATCTGCTCTCTTGTTGTTCTGATTTTCTTTCTAATTTCTATTATTTTTTTTTTAATTTTAAAGCATGTTTCACATTCTGTTTATCCATTAAAAGCATGACTACAGTACATTGCAATTGAAAGTTAACCTGGGAATGGGAAATTCTTTTCATACTTTTAATTTTCCCAAAAAATTATGTCCAGTTCACTATCATGACTATTGTGAAAAACTTACCCCACCTTTGGGAAAAAAAATCTCACTCCATTTCACACAAGTGGGAAAACATTCCCAAACTTTTTCACACAAAAATATCAGGTGTTGGTGGAATGTGAGCCGTTAGGATTCATTGTTTGCATGCATGTGCAGTTTCATTTTCATGTTCAGTACTCATCTCTTGACAATTTCATTGGGAATTTGAAGTTAAGTCCTCAAAAGTCAGTCACAAGTCATCTAGTTTAAAGTCATGTGCCAGATTTTTTAAAGAAAAGTGATGGAAATCGAATTAGGTGTTGCCCTTCATGTATACATGTATTTTATATACATGTATACATGTATATAAACACTTATACTCAGTGTGTTACCTCCTGAGTGAAAGTGAGAATAAATCACTCAAGTGGGACTCGAACCCACGACCTCCTGCTTTCTAGTGCTGACGTCTTGCCACTCGACCACCGAGCTAACGGGATTGGTTGGCTGGTTCGAATCTGATGTAAATACTAGAAAGCAGGAGGTCGTGGGTTCGAGTCCCACCCGAGTGATTTTTTTCCAACTTTCACTCGGGAGGTTACACACTGAGTATATAGAGTGTTTATACGTCGGTGAAGGGTAAAACCTAATTTGATTCACATCACCCCGACGCAAAATTCCATATTATGAATGATAGTGATTAAGGTGTTCCTTTGTCATTGTTCATTCCCTGTTACTTGGGACCTTAGTTGTGATTGGGCTTGTGATGGACTTGGGATGGACTGAACTGCAATTCTGCATGAATTTATTTTTTATCTTGCTTGATTTTTGGCAGACTTGGTGAGGTGAGGGATGTCTTGATGGATCTCAGGAATCGAGTCACCACCGAGGAGACGGAGAGAAGGCAACAAGAGCAGAACTTCTTCCTCAAGTAAATTTCTGTTATTTACATGGAACTATATTACATTACTAGAGCGCTAACTCCTCATTCTTGTGCGCGGAGATTCTTTGAAGCCTTTCTGGGCGCAGACATTTTGAATTCATGTGCGTGTTTGTAGAACACACTGAAAATAGATGGCTTGAATTTGGAAGTGTACTCTAAATGCAACGCGCAAGTAGAACATACACAAACTTCTTAAGTGCATGTTTATGGTTTGAAAAAAAAAAAATGGTTAATCACCTGCAGGGGATACGCGCACACGTTGCGCTGTTTGCGTAGAGCAAAACGAAACGCTCATTTTGCTGATCGTGCGTTCAGGTTTTGGGCGTATCGGATTCGATGACGCACTGGTATGGAATACAAATGCAGATATGCAAATAGACGTACAAAATGTGCACAAAATTTCTAGTTCTCCATACATGTAGGTTTCTGCACAAACATGGATGCACCCAGTTGGCATCACTTTGGACATGAGTCAGCGCTCTAGTAATTTAATATAGCTCTATGGTTATTTGACAGTTTTGTCAGTATTTCAGCCAGCTTTCTGCTCCAGTTTTCTTCGATGATATGAACTTTTGGGCAAAAACATGTTCACACACAGCTGGATAGTGGTAACTGAAACCCCCAATCAGAAATTTTTCTGGCAGTCTAAAAGAAAATTTAAAATGTAGTTCGCACACAAATTGGAGCATACACCAACTTTAAAATATGGTGGAGCCAATATTTTTTAGAATTGTTTATTATATCACAAGAACTTTCCTGAAATTCTCTGGGTAATCTCTATGATTTTGCAATCTTAAGACATAAATGGTTTATCCTATTTGCTTTCAGCTAGACATTTGTATGTGTGTGTGTATTTGCAAAATATACAAGTTAAAATTCTAATGTTTTGGCCAGTCTCAAATGGCTAGTTGTCTGACGTTCCATGCCAATATTTCCATTTCTGCTATGATTCACGAAGAACCTCACCAGGTAGGGTTTTTTCAGGTTGTTATGAATGATACTAATATAAAAAGTCCCCTCTGACAGGCTGAATGACATCCAGTCCCAGGTCCATGAGCAGTCGCGCAAGCGCGACGAGACCATACACACCATCGACGTGGTCCAGAGAGAGCGGGAGCACGCCGCCGACAACGAACGCCTCAAGATGCAGGGCAAGATTGCCGAGATTGCCGAGGAGGTCAGCCGCAAGATACTCTCCAAGGAAATCAGACTGAGGGAGGAGGCCCAGCAAAAGTTTGGGAATATTGAGAAGGTAGGCAGAGGTGTCCGTGTGCTGTTTATGACACGGCCTGACAAAAATAGCAAGATGACATTTAGAGGTACAATGCAGAGCAAGTGTTTGAGCAAAGACCGTAGGTCAACATGTGGTTGATTTGTGACTTTACCTCGCATCAGTGCAGTAATAACAAAGTGGTTATGATCCCAGTTGTAGAGTACCAATCTGGAAATCAGGGAAACCTTGAAAATTAGTTTCTATTTTTCCAGTGAGGGAAAACTCACGGAATTTTGGAAAATTTGACAGTGACCCAGAAGGGAAAGGTTTGCACCAGTTTTGCATATGAGCGTCGTGTGCCACATGTCCAAGCTGTGTCCATTGACTGACTGGCTATGGTATTTTTTTTTAGTGTTTATGCAGTGTGGATATAGGGCTCATTCAATGACGGCCATTTCTGTAGGAGAACTGCAACTGCGTATTTTACGCAATCAAGCACACATTGCGCAGTGTTGAAAATGTTTAAAAAACATGCACGCTTGTTGCTCGAAATGCAAGTTGACGCTCAAAATGCCGATGCACATGGCTGGTCTGTAGGAAACAACGTCATTTGAACGAGACCTATTACACATTTCTCCAGCCAATAACAATTGGCTGTGCTACATGCACCTTTTGACTTCCCAGCAACCTCGTTAAATTGAAAACATTTCTCATAAAATTTTGGAAACTTCTCAGGGAAATTTTAGGGAAAACGCAGGCAATTTTGTTTTCATAAAGTGCTGGGAACCCTGAGTTGAATAACACTCAAACCTTAGCACAAAACTTTCCACACCTGGCTCCCCATCGATAACCGGCAGTGCAACCTACCTCAGTAGACTGTTCTCAAATAATCGACTGAGATGGTGAAGAGCTGTCTGACAGAAACTCACTGTTACTCAAAGAAACTCACTCATCGCAAATTCTTTGTTTTGTACACAGTATCTCCATGCTGAGCAAGCAGCTCGTATCGCTCACGAGCAAGCCATGAGAGAGGAGAATAAGAAGCGATGGCCTGTCTTACAGAAACTCACTGTTACTCAAAGAAACTCACTCATCGCAAATTCTTTGTTTTGTACACAGTATCTCCATGCTGAGCAAGCAGCTCGTATCGCTCACGAGCAAGCCATGAGAGAGGAGAATGAGAAGCGATGGCCTGTCTTACAGAAACTCACTGTTACTCAAAGAAACTCACTCTTCACATATTCTTGTTTTGTTCGCAGTATCTTCATGCTGAGCAAGCTGCTCGTCTCGCTCACGAGCAAGCCATGAGAGAGGAGAATGAGAAGAGATGAGCTGTAACAGAAACTCACCGTTACTCAAAGAATCTCACTCATATATTCTTTGTTTCCTACACAGTATCTCCATGCTGAGCAAGCTGCTCGTATCGCTCACGAGCAGGCCATGAGAGAGGAGAATGAGAAGAGATGGGCTGCCTTACAGAAACTCACTGTTACTCAAAAAACTCACTCATGTATCCTTTGTTCCCTACACAGTATCTACATGCTGAGCAAGCTGCTCGTATCGCTCACGAGCAAGCCATGAGAGAGGAGAATGAGAAGAGACGGGCTGCCTTACAGAAACTCACTGTTACTCAAAGAAACTCACTCATATATTCTTTGTTTCCTACACAGTATCTCCACACTGAGCAAGCTGCTCGTATCGCTCACGAGCAAGCCATGCGAGAGGAGAATGATAAGCGATGGGCTGTAACAGAAACTCACTGTTACTCAAAGAAACTCACTCATCGCAAATTCTTTGTTTCCTACACAGTATCTCCATGCTGAGCAAGCTGCTCGTATCGCTCACGAGCAAGCCATGCGAGAGGAGAATGAGAAGAGGTGGGCTGCCTTACAGAAACTCACAGAAGAGGAAGTACTACACGTCAGAGAGGGACAGAAAGTAAGATTTGGACCGTATTCAAATTGGCTACGGCTTGTGATTACACATGCTTCATTGGCGGCCGCTGAAGCCACATCCCATAGATGAGTGTGTTAGTGTGAGCCGTAGTCAAGTAATACGGACATAGCCTTATGTTTCATTCAATGTTGATTCCAACCAGTGCCTAACTTCATGGTGTTGCTCACAGCAGAAATCGCACTCACGATCACCGTTATGTGCTCACAGTGCTAGCAGGAAAGAATCTGCGCTAAACCAGGAAGCACAGATTCCTAGTTTACAGGATGTACACATGTGCATTTTATGAGCCAAATTTCCTGGCTAAACCATAAAATATGCTTACCACAAGCACACAATTTTCTGCTACAGTAAGCAGGGATTTTTTGCTAACGATAAGCAGAATCATGAATTTGGGCCCCAGACTAGGACTCAGTTATCTTTTCAGAAATGACACTAAACTTGGAGAGAAAAACATGTATGAAAGTTCTTACCGACAAAACAAATCCAACATTCTATGTTATTCCCAAATGATTTGCCATGATTAGTCCAATTTAGACTCGGGTACTACAAGGAATTGATTCCATAAAAAAGTGGGGTCACAATTCCAATTCCAAATTTGGAATCAGCTCTATTTGAGTTGTGTGCAGAGTTACCCAAGCCTATTTCGTATTCAAACTTGAAGACATCTGAATTGAATGGTCATGTCTCAGATACATGTAACTTCAAAACCACAACTGAAAAGCTTAGAGGGGTTTATTGAGATATTTACTTTTGTGTTAGAATATTTTTTTTGGATTGAAATCTTACAGCAAGTTATGCGCTCTGTGTTTTGTAGTTGGACAGGCACAAGAATGTGGGCGGCATGTCCAAGGTAAATGAATATATGGACAAACTGGAGAAGATGCAACACGAGACCAAGAAACAACTAGAAGCCGTCATGAAGGCTGAGATCAAATCAAGGTGAGACAAACTGGAAATGCCATATTCTCTTTTCCTTCTTGTACACTGTATCTTCCCCTGCCTTGTTGCCTCTCTTTGCATCCCACTCTCACCTTTAACTCTTGGACCCCCGTAATTAATTGCCATAATCAGATGGAATATTACTATATGCTCTATGGCATTTGAGTAGACGTACCAGGTTCTAATATACTGTGGGCACCTTTTGCTCACCGAAAATGTTGTTCTCTGAAAGCTTCGTTTGGCTATACTCTGTATTCCCTGCTCTTTCTCCTTTGTCATGTTTCATTTTCATAATCTGTGTTTCCTGCTTGTTTGACACCATTCAAAGGTATAGTCCATCGTTTGTAATTTGTGCATTTTGTTCATTTGAAGCAACAAACGTGCTCAAAATCTAAAGAAGGGTACTGAACAACTATCCTAATGAAGTTTTAGCTCAGCTTCGGCTGTATGTTCCGAGAAAAACGGCATTCTAGGATCTCGATTTCAAATCAAAAGTTGCTGAATCTTGTTTGAAATCGGGCCTGAATTCAGCGTCCGAGACACGTTCTCACTAAGCCGATTTTAGCTACGCGATGTCGTGCACTGATCCGACGAATTATAGCAACCGTGCGCGCGTGTGTGTCGTGCCAACGCTTTTGCACGCTTCGCCGAATAACAAATGAACTACTAATTTAAATTTCCTACGGTGCGTCTTAAGAAGCACCATTGGAAAGGCCTTCTTTCCTTGATTACTTCAAAATGACAGCTTGCCAGAAAGATTAATTTCACAGGGAGTTTAGTCCCCTTATTATCTTTCAACCAAGTATGTTTTTCAACAATAATTACGTCAGTTACTTTTTGGATCCTAGGGTGTTAATTTTCTCGAAATATACAGCTAAAGCTGAGCTGAAACTTCATCAGGTTAGTTGTTCAGCTTCCTTCTTTAGATTTTGAGCACTTTTGTTGCTTCAAACGAACAAAATGCCTGATGATTGATTTGTGATGACTTCAAATGACACAAATTTCTCTGACATAAATTATCAATTTTGTTATATTTTAAGGCAAAACCAAGACAAGCAGATTGAAGACAAGATAGAGGATGTTCAAGAGAAGCTGGGCGTGGCCATCTCCACCTTGCAGCAGGCCATCGGAGGCATCAATGAGCAAGTATCTTCAGCTACTAGCCAGGTATGTCGGACAGCTCTGGTCATCTCTATCATAAACGTACAGCTCAGCCACTTTAGTATGTTACATGGGACATATGCATTTGGGTCCTGCCCATGCCATAAATTTGGGACCCTCAATACTGTGTATGAGAGTCCCAAAATGTAAGGTATTGAAAATAGACTGGCACATGAAACAACCAGTCCAACAACCCTTTAGTACTGCATCAATCAACTGTGCCAAAAGAAACTACTGGTACCTAGTCTCTATTTCTACACATTCTCTCCGTAGTCATGCCACCAGACTGCTGAATGGTCAATCTTTTCAAAAAGTTGGACATGTACCAGTCTAAAATCCCGGCCAAAATGGTTAGGACACATCCACACAATGAGCATACCCTCCCCCGGTCCTCAGCTCCCCCGGTCAATGTTGTCATCTCGTGCTAGAGCACAGACCGTGCAATGAGAGACAACATTGGCCGGGGGGCGGGGTGGGGTCCCAGGGAGTTTTGGCCGGGATTGTAGTCTTAGGCTCGAAGTTGAAATCACTTGGGTTCACTCGCACGTGCAAAAAAAATGAAGAAAAGTCTCCTTTAAAAATTGAATTGAGACCTCAAACTTGGCTGGGGAAATACTGAGGACCTTGTCTTTGCCTCGTGAAAATTTTGGAGAATTTGGTCAGCTATTAAGAGTGAGTTAAGTTGGCCTGATTTTGTTTTTCAGCACTCATGGTCCCAGTCTGGGCCCTGCCCAATGATACATTTCAATGGATTCTGGAAGAATTTTCTAGAAAAAAATAATGCCTTACAGTTGAAGAGGTCACATTGAAAATTGTCTGATTCTTGATGTCAAGTCATATCATAGAACAGCCTTTCACCCTAACTCCCTAGCGTCTTTTACTAGGAACTGGACCAAGTCCATCAAAATCCATCAATCACTGTGCGTCCAATACAAAACTGTACATGACACTATGGAATCCACCACTGACGCACTGGTTGACATTCATGGACTTGCTACACTTGGCTTTTAGCACAATAGCAGTACAGGAAGCTAGGCAAAATCATTTGGATACCCCTAGCACTGCTTCAGGCTATTAGGCCCAAGTCCATCATAATCCATCAATATTTAGTCATGCCAGGCCTTCTGGACTAAGTCCCCCAAAATTCACCGAAATGAGGGGATGGATTTTGATGGAGTTGGGGTGGTAAGGGTTAATAGAAAATTCTGAAAACAGAGCTAACATATTTTATTTTTTTCCCCGGAAATTAATGCATAGTGCTGTGATGACACTTGTATGCAATATTTGAGATCAAGATTAATAGTTTGACTCTGCATATAATATACTCCTATTGTGTCCGATCATGTGATTCATTAATTAATTTTAAAAATTCATTAATTCCTCCTTTGGTCACTGTTTATCGTGTTTGTAGCCCAGAGAGAGTGATGCGGTGAGATATTTTGCTGTATTCTTTGTCATATATCAAAATCCATTTCCACGCATATTGCCAGTACATCTCATTGTGTCTTCTACGTACACAGAAGCATGAATTTGTGTTGTTTATTAGATGAATTCGGGCTCCTTGCACGAACAGCATGTGATAAATAAAAAAATATTATTTTCAATTATTTCTGGTTATGAAAGTTTAACCAAGAATTCCTCAAAAGCGCCCTAGGCATCGTAGCTTGCAAGCCTGAAGAAACCTGTAGAGAGGAGACAATGAGAAGGAATTACAGTTTTAGAGGTGGGAGGAAAACCCCAGAAGAACGTTCTGGGGAAAACCAGTGGAGTCAGGCAGGGACTGAAAACCCAATCCACATGTTGGCCTAGGTGGGCGATGAAAGTACCACTTCGCCAACCTGGTTCCCCGATAGACCATTATCATGTTGCAGCCATTTGACTTTTTCCCATTCAAATCAATGTAACCAAAGCGAGGCTGGAAGAAAAAATAGTCTGGTTCCTTTTTGCACAAAGACATTATCATTCAGTACTGTTATTGGATACAGGGAACATGACTGAAATGGTGGCAGTTTGTAAAATGTACCAAGTGCTTGTGCAAGAGGAATACACTTTTAGGCTTGGATGTCAACTTTTGTCCTTAATGTGCTGCGAAAAAGGCCTCTCTGGGATAACTTTTGTTGGTGCACAGCATATATCTCCTAGAATATTCATTATCCCACTCGCGCAAGTGGAGCACAGAGTAATGTTGTGCGTCTGTGTCCCACATGCCAAGAGGTCGAAGGCCAAGTAGTATGTGGGAAGCAGACGCACTACATTATTCCGTGTTCCACGAGCACAACTTGGATAACAAATTTATCTTCAAGCAAACTGGACCCACAGTACAGCAGATGGAACACTCACGCTGAACATGCACTTGTGCAGCAGAAATGGCGCGTTCATCTTGGAATAGCTTGATACGCCGAGTGTGGTATGGACCATGGTATTAGGTATAAATACAGCACGGTTTGTTGCCATGGATCAACCAATCAGGATCAAAGATTCAAGTTTGCTTGAAGAAACGGTGTCATATGGATCACCCAACTGAAACGGGCTGTTTACATAAACACGAATCGACACATTTTCATTTCATATTTTGTTGTTGAATACTTTGATCCTACTCTTCTCCTACTTTTTTCACCTGGGTCTACTTGAAAGCCAGCCAGCATGTAGCTACATGTACATGTACACTCGGATCAAGTTTCATTTACTGAACTATTTGAAAACTGCACTCCATTGTGACACCGTCGATAGCTAGTGCAAGAACTTAACTCTTGCAGATTCACATAAATTGAATCTGTTTCAATTTGGGAGATTCACAATGCAGTTGCGCCACCAATAGTTTGCCACGGACATTTGAAATTGTTACTTTTTCTGGGCAGTAGTTTCGTAAGCGTATGATTTGAGTATATGTGATGCGATCAAGCTAAATAAGTCGTTTGTCTACCCCAGTCAATATTTGTTTTAGTACAGATTTGAAAAGAGCACAAGCATTACTGCTGTGAAAACCTCATGCTCAAAAATGATGGAAGTCGGAACACCAAGAAAAGTGATGAAGTGACGTGATGAAGTGGTCCTATTTTGGCCTGTATCTCCAAATAAAAATTCCCGACAAACGACTCATGTAGCTTGATCGCATCACATATGTTTGACCTTTTTTTTCATTTATCAATATGGTGTTTTTGGTAAGGCGGCGGAACGCTATGCCCCGATCTGTAACAAATTGGCTCAAGTTGTCTACTGACATACATTAAAATGGGCCATTTATTGACCGTAAACTTTGAAAATGGACTCTCCATGGCAAACTCTTGGTGGAGCACTGCATTGTGAATCGCCCGAATTGTCACAAACTTCACTCTGGACTCTTGCATGATCAAATTCACTCTGCATTCATATTATTTGAAGTACGCATCAGTATTTGTGAGTTACTTTGTTTATTTTATGGGCAATTTCAGCTTTATGAAAGGAGTGTAATGTCCGCGACAAATCCAGCTAATTACCTTGATGTCTATCTAATGAATTATTCAGAGAAATGATTCAAAAGGCCTAGTCCGTAATCTCCTTGACCATTACTAGATGATGGATTTGAATATTACATTCCATGCTTCAAAGAGCTCTTAAAAGCTCTGTCGTGGACATTACTTAATGCTGGAATCGCCTTGATGTATATGTGGCCTTGTATGAAATGCATGGATGCCCTTCCAGAGTTGTTTGTACCTGGGACAGAGTTGTAACGAGTCACTGATTTTTGTGACTCGTGTCGAGTCGAGTCATTTTAAAGAAGTGACTCGAGTCGAGTTGAGTCATTTTAAAGAGGTAACTAGAGTCGAGTCGAGTCATCAGGTCAAGAAGGTCAAGGTGAGTCGAGTCGAGTCGAGTCAAATATTTAGCTCGAGTCAATTCCAGTCACGAAAATTTGAACACCATATAGCAAAATGTATTAAAAGGAGGGCACAAATTTAGCCGGCATTCGACTCCAACTTTTTAAGAAATCGCCCAAAGCCACTGATGAAACAACGACTTGTAAAATGGGTTTAAAATCTGGTTCCTGGATTGTATTTTGTGAGTGCTAGAACCATGAGGTGGGAGTCTGTGACACGTATGTTTGAAAATGATAAGTGGCTGTTGTACCCGTACTGTATTCACAAAGTGACACGTTATATGTTTGTAAATGACAAGCGGCTGCTGTACCGTACTGTATTCGCAAAGGGACATGACATAAAGTTTGCACTTTAAGTCATTGCAAATACTTTTCGCAAAGTTTTGCTTTTATTTTTTTGGACTCAAGTCTTTTAGCATTCACTTGAGTCGAGTCTTCTGATGAGGGACTCAAGTCGAGGCGAGTCATTTACCCTTAGGGACTCGAGTCGAGTTGAGTCACCAAAATTTGTGACTTGATTCGGACTCGAGTTGAGTCATTGACTCGAGTCATTACAACTCTGACCAGGGATAGTCTCATGATAGTTGGACTTGTTTCTCCATAATGCACGCAGTATCAAGACAAGGTGAAGCTACTGATTGAGGAGCAGAGCCAGGGCGGGTTACGAGGCTTAGCTGACCTGGATGCGAGGGTCATGGCATTGCAGGCCAAGCTGGCATCGCAAGAGGAAGAGACTCAACGAACCGTTACTAAGGTGAGATGCTGAACATGTGACATATGATACATTTAGTTTTTCCTGACCTTTGCAATTTTTTATTACGTACAATTATTGGAGTGCTATTCCTAATTAAAGTATAGGATCATTTGTTTGTTTCCAATAATAACACCTCTCAAAATCCAAACAAGAATGTTCAAAACTATAAGTATTGAATATAAGATTTGAGGCTTTGCATGGTGGAGTATCGGTATTGTTTCGGTTTGCGGTAACACCATGTGGTAATAACTACTGCTTAGACATGTTAGAAGATATTTAGTTCTGAAAAGAACTTGTCCTGCTTATTATCAACTTTCGCTAAGTAGTTTTTGTTCTGATAAGAACAGTCCTGCTTTAAGTTCTAAAAGAACTTGTCTTATAGTGTTGAAGTTACAGCCCAGTTGATGTGACACTTATCAAGAAAACAGTGAAAAACCATGCCCAACTTTTTAAAGACGATTTCATCCATAGCACACTGTATTTCTAATGATCAGCCAACTGACTGATCGTTAGAAATCACCGACTTTTTGAGTTGTTCTAAATGACAGCAAGCCAGACGGAGTAATTTCACGGGGTGTTTAGTACCAGTACGATCTTTAATCCAAGTAAGCTCTTTGATTATAAATTGGCAGGTTACTTTTGGGATAAGTGCAAATGATCCTATATGCCTTTAAATTTGTAGCTATGAGACAATTTGTTATTGTATTCAACTTGCAATCAATATGTGTTGTTTCTCTCTTTGTTTTGTTGCAGGCAATTGCTGAGGCGATTGATGATAAGGTAAGCTTTGGGAAATTCATGAAAATGAAAGCCCTGATGTGAAAGAAAAAACAATCACCTGTTTTGATCTCTTTTCATTTTTTTTTTTTTTTACAATATGAAACTGCTGGGTAATCACGGAAGTAATGAAATCGACTGTGGTCTCCTGATGACAGTCCTCAACAAAAAGTGATAAACAAAATAATAATAAAAATGGAAAAACAGAGGTTTCCAAAAATCAAACATTCCTTGAAAACATATTCTAGAAGAAAAGTTTGAAGAATTAATATGAAACCTAGACAAAAAAAATTGAACAATGTGCCTAGTAATGAATTCCTGAGATTGAAGGTATTGTTTATATTTTGTACTAACCCTCTGTTAAATATTTTGTCAAATGTTGCTGTAAAGCTGTTTCTAACCGACTATCCAATGGTAAGGAAGCAAATATTGCTATTGGAATTTGTTATCAGTTTACTGTTGTCAGTTACATATTAGCTTTGTATACAAAGGTGTCAGATTAGTTGTATGTGTCATTAGTATAGACTAATTTGGCATCAGCCATTTTCTGCGGTGGCACCAGGCTGACGCGAGAGGCGCTCAGGTAGTACGCATGCACTTCGGGCTCCTTCAACCAAAGGGGTTACCAAAATGTGATGCGATCAAGCTAAATGAGTCGTTTGTCGGGATTTGTATTTGGAGATACCGGTACAAGCCAAAATAGGGCCACTTCATCACATCTCTTGGTGTTCTGACTTCCATAATTTGTGAACTAAAGATGGTACCAGCATGCGGTTTTCACAGCAGTAATGCTGACATTGTGCTCTTTTCAAATCTGTAATAATTTTTTTTTTTTTCCAGGGTCGACTAGCTTGATCGCATCACAAATGCGCACACGCGCCCCATCTTAAAGAACGTGTGCGGCGTGCGCGTGTATAGGGTGTAAATCGAGGACACACACGTGCAACGCCATTGATAAATCGAAAACAGAAACCGAATCGAGGACACCTCGGTTGGAAAACGTGTACAAAACCAATGAGAGCTGTTGCAAAAAAGTTCAGGGCACAAACAGAGGAAAAGGGAAGAGGAACAAAAGAAAATCCTCAATTTACACCATAAACAAACGTGTATGCACGTGAGTGTGGCACCACCTCAAAAATGGCTTCTAATTTTGTTCGCCGGATTAGACTTTTTAGCATTTCTTAGCCTGTAGTTAATCCAGTGATCACTTTTAAAAATTGAGGAAGACATTCTACAAGTTGCATGCAGGTTGTAGCATGGACTAAGTGCTCCCTTCACATTAGGGTGTTTACAACTTGCAAAAAACGCTGACGAATCTCAAACTTGACAACGTGTGTGACGTGCACACGAGCATTGTAATACCATCGCAGTAATGCCTTCTAATTGTGGTCATTGGATAAGTCTGTAGATAGGACTGGGCGAGTAGTGGTTTTTTTTACTCGAGTACTGGCAAAAAATTATTCACGAGTATTCGAGTACTCGCGAGAAGTTAACCGAAATCTGATAAAAAGCAGAAAACTGACATGTATGTTAGTATGACATGCATTAACTTACAAGCAAATAGCTTGCAGTCACACCGCATTTTTTCAGCACTGAGATATCCTTACTGTGCGACATTTTGGGTCATTTACTTCTATTTTTTTCTTGGGGGGGGGGAGACGAATGGAACCCCTGTTTGCAGGGGATGTATTAAGCCATGAACCCTAAACCTTGCGAGTACCTGCTTCTACTCGCGCCAGGACGAGTACTCGAGTAGATGAAAAACCATGAGAAGAAAAAAATGTAGCATAAACTACTCACGAGTAATCGAGATACTCACCCAGTGGTACCTGTAGTCATATTATAAGAGTATGCATGTTTCGTAGTGCTTGTTTTGATGAATTTATTTTTCCTTGCATGTATGCCTGACCGTATTTTACCATGACAGGATAAGCAGGTACATATATATTGACTTCTTTCATGTTGAGTGCCGCACAGTGTGATTTGTACATCCTCAACCCTTTTACTCCAAAATCAACTTTTTTTCTCTATGTACATGTAGATGTCATTTTTATCTTGATTTTTTTGTTTTTAACACTTTTCAAGCAAGTCAGATGGTATCTAACTCTATCCCCTTCCCCACCACCTCACACACCCCATCCAGAATATTTCAGGACGTGTGTCACCACCGCCCTTGTTTTAACAAATTAATGTCATTGCTAGAGACACCCTTTTGTGATAATAATAATAATAATAATAGCTGATATTTATAAAGTGCACGTATCCACCAGGACTGGTGCTCAAGGCGCTACATCATTATTACCCCTGCTCATTGGGCACATGAAACATTCCGAATACCATCTCGGCTCCCTGTGATTGTGATGTATGTGCAGCACAAATGAAGATGTCAAAGCACCATCTTTTATTCCTTCCTAATATTTCCACTTTACCAAATCTGTTTGCATTTGGAGAGTTAACACTGACTGTGTTGTCCCCTTTTAACTGGTGTGTGGATTTGTTGCATGTGTAGACCTTGATAGAACTGTCACAAACTGTCCAAAAACTCAGTTTTGAGAGCCATAAAATTGGGGAATTGAAGAGATATGGTAATGAACCTCTGGCCCGGACTTGGGGCTTCCAATTCTGAGCATTTTGGATGCTATTGGGCACGAAAGTGGCGCTGTTTTGCCATGTTGTGGAGGGATGGTTTTTTCAAGATGGCTACTTTTCCGCTTTGGGGAAAATAGGGGTCGTCTTCTTTGGGTGAGAATAGCTCGAAAAGTCAATGGTCAACCCACCAAAAAAAGAAAAGAAAATGAAAGTAACACATTGATCATCATTTTTCTGTGCAGCTTGAATACCTGTGAGAGTTCTGAGTATTTTTAAAAGAATTTTGAAGTATGCGCATTTAGCACTAGTGTCTATGGGATTTTTTTTCTGCACGGTTGTACCCCTATGGATTAAGCCACATATCGGTCAAAACCTGTTGAAGGGGTTTGATAGACAGGGTGTCCTTGAATAATGCAGCTCAACTAATACTGCAATTCTATAAACCTTACTTGTAGCAGCCATTGCCCTCTTATAAATGCCTTTGTTTTGCTGTGATATGCATGAGTGACCCTTTTGTGCCTTCACTGCATTCTGAAAGAAATCAATCATTGCCAGGCACTCAGCAGTACTTAAACCCACCAGGGCCCACTTTCGTGGCTCTTGCTATCACCATTTTGAGCTAACCACGCTAGCAGAAAAATTATGTGCTAACCCTGTAAGCACAGAATCCTTAGTTACGGGATGTTTGCATGCGCAGAAGCTAAAATTCTATGCTAATGCGTGAAATACGCTTACCGTAAGTACACAATTTTCTGCTATTAAAAGTAAGCAGGGATTTTTAGTAAGCAGAGCCAAGAAATTGGGCCCATATCTATTACTGCCAGTCAAGGCATGGTACCTTCAGTTGACAAAATTGCCACAGCCTGTCAATTGTACTAATATGAGCCCAATTTACAAAACTGTTAAAAAAACAGCCACTTGATAGATTTTGACAGATAGGGTATCTCTCTCCGTTTGCCACTGAGAGAGGGAGGGTTAATTAATAAGGTTGCCAGGCCATAGTTCTAAACCTTGAAGTTATAGTATCGGAGACACAATACAATTTTCTGTATTTCTGGATTTAATCATGCTTTCATGACCCACTTCCAAAGGATCTTTATCAACGCAGGCAGTTCATTGTTAATGCTGAAACATGATGAACATGTAACAATTTTTCTGTTTTAAGGATTGTCTTTATGACTTCCTTACTTGTGAATGCATTGAAGTTCTACAGGCACTGTCAATCATTGTAAGTAATGGATTTTTCTTTCCCCTAGGCATCTAAATCGCTGATGGAAGATCAGGCTGAGAAACTGGAGAAGATAGACGACTGGCGGGACAGTGCCGAGAAGAAACTCAAACAGATCAAGGAGCGTATGGATGAACTCGGACCAGAGGTGGGTCAAAAGTACTTTCACTAGTATCTAACTGGGCCAAAATCTACAACCATTCTTTCATTGGATTAATTCTTCCATTTTTAACTTTCGTTTCGTTTTTTTTAATGCTATCCTTGAAAATGCACAGTTGTGTTCCATTTAACCTTATTTTCAATTTTTGTTTTGCCATTTTGAAGGGTATTTTTTGCCTTTTGGGTATTTATGCTAATGAGAATTTCCTTATTCATGAGCAAAAACTGTGATGTCATTCCAGGCAGAACCCTCATTGTTACAGCTATTTCAGTGCAAAAAGTTGCTAGAATTGTGGATATATTTTGCTGTCATAAATTGTCTTTTCTTTGGTGATTCGTTGTTGTGTCAGTTCATGGCAGTAAGCCAATGAGTAACTCTTTCTCACAAATGTTTTCAATGGGCAAATTTTGGGTTCTCAATTTGACTAGAAACCCCTGAACTGAACAGTGCCTTCCTGAATTGACATCAAAGCAAGAGCGCCCTCAGTTGTCTGGAAAAGCATGGAAAATTTTAAATGTTTAAAGAAGTGCACTTTTCAATAAAATTACCAAAAAGTGATGTCAAACAGTTTTCAAACATTTAAGAGGAGTAGAAAATTGCACAAAATGTGCTCCTAAAAGAAAAATTCATTGCATGGACCCTTTCAAACGGGATTTTTGCATGAGTTAATCAATATAAAGGATAGCAACAATTGAATTTTTCAATAAATTGATCTTCACATTTTTTTAAAGAGTTTGTAGGACAAGCTCAAATGTTCTTTGTTTTCTTAGCTTTTTATTGTTATGTGTAGTGTGTGTTGTTGTTGATTTCAGCTGAAATCAAATCACAATGGTCTTTGACTGCTTTCCAATCCTTGTGAAAAAAAACAGTTTAGATATTTTACTGAACAAAGAATTTTGTTTGCAAACAAAGGAAAGCTTCATTTTCTCCAAGTTATTTTTGAATAATCAACACAATGATTGATCAACTAAAAAAAATTTCCAACAAAATTCCATTGAAATTCACATCACCTTCATGCAAAATTCTGTAAAAAATCAAAAAAAATCACTGATGTCTACCAGAATGTTTGATCGTTGAGTTATGAGTACGTCGTAATGAGTTGAGTCACACCTGATTAAGCTTTTGAGTTTTACTCAAAAGCACACATAAACAACACTTAAAATGAAGTGCTCATAGCATGGAGCTGAAAAAAGGAACTGATATTGAAATTGAATAAGTTTCCTTTTTCCTGATTTTTCCATACTCGCTATTTAGATTCGTGAGATGAATCGGACCAATGAGACACTGCAGGAGGACATGAAGGGGCTGATCGACTCAGAATCCAAGGATAGGTGAGTTGAGTGGTTACCACGTGCATACCTTAGACAGACCTGTAGAGGGCGCTGCAACGACTTCCATTTGCTCCTACCCTCTGCCCTATCCAAGGCCGCTGGTGGCCATCCTTTGCACAAATGTTTTGACGTGAAAAACATTCCATGACTTACAACCCTATTTTTAAAAGCCATATTATCGGAAGCAGAAGAAATTTTTTTTTTTTGGCCTAATTGTAACAGATATCTACATCTCAATATTTTGATGTGAGATGCACATTGTTGATTAAACTTGAATCCTCGATCCTGATTGGTGGATCCATGGCAACAAACCGTGCTACATTATCCCATGTAGCATGGTCTATACTGCACTCAGCGTATCACGCTTTTCTAAGATGTGCGGGCCATTCCCACTACTGGCACGTGTAATAGGATATTAGTGATGAAAAGTTTGTGTAGGCCCTACGCAGCGTTAGTGTGCCATCTTTACTGTGCGTTAAGTTTGCTTGACGATAAATTTCTTATAGGAGCAAAAGTGTGTCTGCGTCCCACCTACCACTCAGCCTTCAACCTCATATCATGTGGGACACAGACGCACTACATTGTTCAGTGTTCCACTCGCGCTCATGGGATGAAATAACACCAAACAGTGATTAAACCAGCCAGTTTTTCCGAGCCACATACGTATCCCATATCTGCACCATTTCTAATGGTCCCTAATGTTGTAGTACTCGTACTTGGTACTCGTACTCGAGTACTACTCAAGTGCTTTTGTTAGAGTTCTCGTACTGGTACTGGTACTCGAATGGTACTTGGTACTTGGTTGGCTCTTCTCCTAAGGACTTCCACAAGGGAGTATAACTAGGAGGCCAGAAACACCAGGGCAAACCCCTTCTCTTAGCCATAAGTGTTACTGGGTTCTTTTACGTGCGTTAGGCCTTATACAACACACGGGACCTCCGGCTTAACGTCCCATCCGAAGGACGAAGCAATAATGGTTAAGTGCCTTGCTTAAGGGCACAAGTGTCCGGCCCGGGCTCGAACCCACGCCACTGTTGCCTCTGAAACACCAGAGCATGAGTCAGGTGCTCTTAACCGCTAGGCCATGACACGCCAATGTCAAAGTACCCGTACTCGAAATGATGGTACTCGTACTCGACATGTCGAAATTGTACTCTATCATCAAAGTACTCGTACTCGAATAGCAGTACTCCAAAAAAAAAAAAAATGGTATAGCTTGACAAACCACAGCCTTATTTGATCGATACTTTCAGTTTGAAATGGTTGATTGGCTTGTGGAGAAATCGAAATTTCCTGATTTTTCTCTGTGCACGTCCGGACAGACACATTTACCGGTAACAGCCAGCCTTGAGTGGGTCTGTATATCGGTCTGACTGGGCCTGGGCCAATTACGCACAATGAACCATTTGCCATATGGCCATATTCGGAAGTAGAAGTACTCGTACTCGTACTCGGAAGTACTCAGAGACCTGTACTTGTACTCTGAAGTACTCGTTCTCGTACTCAGTAACCTAAGTACTCGGCAGTACTCGGTACTCAGCAAAAAGTACTCGACTACAACACTGCTAATATGCCTACAAAACTAGTGTACATACACATTGTGTCGTGCAAATGGAGCTCACACCAGGAGTCTCAAAACACCATCTACTGGTTCCTGCATGGAGCCCAATAGGCAAAACTGACATGTATTACTTTGTGCGTTTTACTTTTCGCAATAAAAACCAACATGGAAAAAAGTATTGCGTAAAACAGTATTGTGTAAATGAGGCGTCTTTAGTGTTTGGCATCTATTGTGATTGATCGTTGAATTAAGGCAAGGATAATAATTCCACCGTCTTAAGCTTGACTCGATTTCTTTCACAAATTTGATTAAGACGTTTGTTAGGTGACGTGTTCTTTTTCTGTTTTGCTCTGTACTGTGTTTGCGTACTCTCAATTAATTTGCAGCACGCGTTGACTCAAGACAGTTTGCGTTATCTGTTAACCCCAATATTCTCTGGACGCTGGTCAATGATTTGTCATAATTTCAATTGTTCGGTCGGTTCTTATAGTTTGATTTCCGTGAAGAAAAATGGATTACCCTAAAACAAATTTCACTGAACTTATTTTGTGGACCCAGAATTACATTGTAAAGTCAACGATACTGAACTTAATTGTTTTTCTCATTGTTCGTAAATTACATTATTGTGCAGTACATTCTGTGGCCCATTAGGCTAGGATGCCATCTCAATACTTAAGAATTCTTCTAATATCTCTTCTTTTTTTTAATTTGATGCCAAGGGTTTAGTTTAAATATCTATGGCCATCTGGTTAAAAAAAAATGACTTTAAAATATTTTTTTCGACAGTTTCGTCAGTCTTTTAATATTTCTGAGCCAACTTCCCCTGACCATCCATCTTGAAAAAAATGAAACTTAAATTAGGATGTAATTATCCTATAAATTTAGGGTACAAAGCGTGGCATGTTTCCTGTCCCTTTTACCTTGGTACTTTGTAATTTCGCATTCAAGTATCAGTAAGGATGAGTTCCAACCATTATTTTATTTGTTGAGTACTTTTAGGTAGTTTGCTATTCGTTATCATTCTTGAAGGACTACTGCATTAAGGAGTGCATTGGAATGATAAAGTCGTAGATGTCAGATGCAACAGGGACAGGAAAAAAAGTGGACCCCAAATTTAGAGAATGACCCTCCTCCGAACTCCACCTCTATTTCTCAGAGCCATTAAACCTCAATCCTCGAAAATCAATCAAACCTAAATCAGGATTAAGCCTTCATCCTCCAGTAACAACCAAAATATTAATATGAAAACATCTCCAATCCTTTCACGGGAGCAAAAAAACTGCTGTAAGGAATGTGGAGGATTATTGAGCGTTAGGGTCTAATAATGCACATTCGAAACTAAATACAAGAGAAAAACTACAGCAATAATTACACATGGCAGAAAATACTTAAATGTATTCTTATATAAATTTCCTTAGGACTACATTTCTTCAGTGGCTTCCTTGTTCTTCCCAGGGTATAAAAAAAAGTACCTTCTCTTCAAGTAACACCATTTTGTGGGACATTTCAATGAACAAAGAATGAAATTTTAGTCAGAGATCAGACAGTTACCAACATCTTACCACCACATTTTAAGGACATTAGCACCTCACATAGGCCACATGTTTTTATTTTTAGCAAAAGCGGGTTCTATAACAACACAAGTTTGGGGCACAAACCATAGAAATAACATGTTTATTGAAGCATTATTTTTTTTACATCATTTAGTAGCTTGAACATTTGCTTATAAACTCACACTTGCGACTCTGAATTCAGTTATGTTTGCACTCCTAAAACTCAGTGTCATTCCAGTGCCCTTATCCACCCAAAAATACAGCTTTATTGAGCAGTTTTTGTGTCGCCTAAATAAGTATTGGGGGACACTTGCCAGTCCTAAATTCTGTATCCCCATATATACCCGCCAGAGGTACTTGTGGGGTACTTGAACAAAGGGAACGGTACCCCACAAGTGCAATCTTTAGGAAAAAAAAGGATAAAAGGACAACAGTGCTCCTACCCCAGAACCCCCATCCGCTGGAACAGATGTATCTCCGTATGACCGTGTGTTAAAGCTTAGGTTAAGTTTTGGGGAAAAAATGTAAAACTTCTACATGCTTTCATGGATTTTGATGAAACCTGGATGCAGTGACCCTTGGGTGGGAAGACACGTTTCTTCATCAGATTGCTGAGGTCAAAGGTCATGTAGGGGTCATTAGAGGTCATTGCTTATATATGCTTCAAATGTTTCTTTGTCTATAGAATTTGATGGATTTTAATGTAACTTGGATGGAGTGATCCTTGGGTGGGGGTTCACCACAACTCTTATGAAATTGGAGGTCAAAGGTCATCTAGGGTCACTTGAGGTCATTGTTTAAATTGCAAAAAATTTGACTTTTTTTTAAGTACACAAAACATGTAGGGATATTATACCACGAAGAAAGGAGACACATGTGATCCGTTGATCACCTTGTACATGTACTGCATTTTACCAAATGAACACAACATTTATAGCAATTGACTGTTTTTGTCTGTTTGTGTTTAAATTAGAATCCGTGATGTCCAGATGGTTCGTCAGGACCTGCAGACTAAGTACACCCAGCTCCAGCAGGATATAGAGGCAGCCAAGCAGGCCATACCTAGCGGCGGTGAAGCCGCCGTGCCTGTCATTCCAGTCACTCAGAAAGAGAAGCTGGCCCAGGGGAAAGGAGGAGGCAAAGTGGACGAGGCCACCAAGGCTAGGATTGATGATATTGAGGACAACATTAATAAGGTTAGATTAAAAAAACTCCACCTTATGAATAGTTAATGCGGTACCCACTGCTATTTACATCTGATTCGAACCAGCCAACCGATCCCGTTAGCTCGGTGGTCGAGTGGTAAGACGTCTGCACTAGAAAGCAGGAGGTCGTGGGTGCGAGTCCCACCCGAGTGATTTTTTTCCAACTTTCACTCGGGAGGTAACACACTGAGTATACAGTGTTTATACGTCGGTGAAGGGCAAAACCTAATTTGATTTACATCACCCCGACGCAAAAAAAAATTCCATCTTAGATTAGATTTTTATTATTTTTTGAAAACCGCAAAGAAAGTGAGTGCAGACTCATCATTGGAGGGGTCATAATTTTGAATCTGATCGTCTTATGATGACGTCATTTATATAGACTTTTGGGGAATGTTGTCAGCTACATTTTGATACCCCGTTTGCTACCAATGACTGTTAATCGTCCAAGATTGACAATATTTTACAAGAAATGATGCAGTTGGAAAAATTGCAAATTTAAAAGATTACACGAGTGAAAATTGCGGCGAGACAATGTTACACTGCCTGACACGACTGCCACGGAATATCGATCGCACAAATGCTTGTATGCATGGAAGCACACAGGCTATTCGAAATTGATTTACCCGCGCTTTGTTTGGGCACTGTGCCGTCGATTGGGGCCAATTATGGTCTTGTGTGTTTGGTTACACTTAGCAATTTCTCCTAGCGTAATCTTTTAAATTTGCAACTTTTCCAACTGCATCAGTTTTCATAAACCGTTGCCAATCTTGGACGATTTACAGTCTTTAAAGTTTAGGAGCAAACGGGGTATCAAAATGTAGCTAATGACGTCATCCTAAGGCGATCAGATTCAAAATGATGACCCCTCCAATGAGTGTGGACTTTCTTTTTTGTGATTCAAAGTACAGAAATGTTGGCGTTGGAGGTCAATATTATGGTTAATCTGCATCAGTGTTGTAGTAGTCTGATGGAAATACTCAAGTGCAAGCTGCCGTAGTAAGAAATTACGCTTGATAAACTATAAATCCTTTGATTTTATGGTTTTTAAAGTATTACACAATTCCCAATGGTGCAACTTTTTTAAACTAAAAAGAAAGGAGTAAACATAAAACTGTAAAGTCTTCCCACCTTTGCTAACTAATGAATTCTCTCTTTGTTTTTTCTTTTGTTATTGCAGCAACGGAAGAAGTTTGAAGAGGTTCGTATATTCTCCTTGTTTTTATCAACCTGACTAATGTTCTGTAGGGAAAAAGTTAACGGCATATAATTTGTGTTTTCTTTTTAAAAATCTATTCAATCTATTTGTTCCTACTGATGAATTATTACTAAAGAAAACTATTTTTGAATGAAAAATGAAGCAGAAAGTTATTATCACCTTCACTGATATTTACTGGCATTGGTGTTTTGCTTTTGCTCTGACATTTTTCACACAGATTTGAAATTAACCAAGCCTCAGACATTCCCTGCAAGTATTTCTTTGTGTCACCAGTTTTTCACAGATTTCTGAACATATACTGTATCTAATCTAGTTTCAACTAAAGAAGGTTAGTTTTGAATGCTATTCAACCAATTCGCACAGCCTGTTTTTTGCACAGGCTTGGATGACGGGTCAAGGCGCCAAGATTGCCTCAACTCACCTCCGGGTGACGTCTGAACACTATAATCCCTCGTGCCTTTTGTACACACACACACAAAGTCCGTGTAGTCTGGGGAAGCGGACCGTGTGCTGACTGTTGTGTGGGCCGTTGTGCACGGCCTACAGTTTACGCTCCAGTGCACACCCCGAAGTATTGAAACATACAAGGTTTCCACAAAAAATATCGTACAAATACTGTTGAAATGACTCTTGCAAATCAGTGTTTGTGTCGTTTGGCTGTATATCAGAAGTTGGCTGGGAAATTTTGCCGTTTAAAAAATTTAGAAATTGTTGGCAAAATTGTTTGGCAAAAATTAAGTCGATGCGAAATGGTCAAAATCATTATGGCCTCTTGAAAAATCAGGCAAAAAATTAAGTGTGGGTATTTCAATGACTTCCACCAACGTCTCTCCTGTGTTTTTTTTATCAGCCTTCATAATTGGTAGTCATTTATTGTTTTTCACTAACAGCTGAAGGAGCAGATAGGAAAAGCTGAGAATAGCATACAAACAGTCCGAGTCCACCTGGGAAGGAAGATAGATGCAGAGACGAAAGCTGTGAGTACTGGCATTCCTCGAATTCACATTACAACAATGCACTAGTGTTGATGTTTAAGCACACACAATTGAACTGCAGTCTACTAAACAATATGAGCGAATCATCACGTTTTCAACTCAAATTTTTGTTACCAACAAAGTTTACTAAGACTTTTTATTGCTTGCACTTATGGTAAAAATGTCCAAAAAGTCTGCTTAACACTGATTAGGAGAGTATTGTCATAGCAACAACTAGAAAAGAAAGTGGCCACTAAAATTGATCTAATCTTTTATTTATTGTGCTTCAAAGGGGTTCAAAGGTACAACAAAAAGTGTTGATAGGACTTATACAGAATAATCGAAAATGGCCAAAAGAGGGCTCACTTCAAACCATTTCCAGAGCACATGAATGCAGACTTGCATTGTGAGGAGTCAGTCATTGTATCGTATCACAGACAATTCTTCTAAGCAAACGTAGCAGAAGCAAAAGTCAAAACTGTTCCTACTCTTGTTTCGGATCAGTATATCCAAGCTGTATATCTTGTGTGTTCCTAGCTAGAAAGTTCTTTTTGCGATCTCATGCGCACACGAGCAAATGTTATAATATGGTATAGACAAATCCGGTGGCAGTCATTTTCTGCGGTGACGCAGGACTCGTGTGAGTCATGCTCAGGTATTAAGCACGCACTCTGGGATCCTTTGACCAATAGGAATACCAAAATGTGCGTTCGCCCCGTCTTTAAGAACACGTGCAGCATGTGCTTGAGCGTGACACCACCACAGTTCCACCGCAGTAAACACTTTAAAATCTTGTCGCGGGATTCCACTGTTGGTGTTTTCAAGTGGAATGTTCATGGGGGACATTTTGTGTTCACAAGATAAAACAGGCAATATTTCTAGTGGAATATTCAGTGCTTTCCAGGGATTTCGTCGAGTCCATCACAAGTCCCTGCAAGTCCATCACAAGTCCTCCAGTCGCAATTCCAATCCCAAGCTATTCAAATGAGCTTTGACAAAGGCATTCCTTTGTTATTGTTCATCCCTTCTTTCTTGTGACTGGACTTGTGACTGGATTTGTGATGGACTCGACTTCATCCATGGAGCATGCTGAGTTTTGAGACACTTATCAGCAGGTGTGCCAACTCTCAAGCATTGAGCGTGAGACTCGTGCATTTCAGCTTGTTCTCAAGCTCTCATGCGCACCCAGGATTTTTCACGCAGAAAAATAAACAAATAAAACTTAAAATTGATGTATAAATGATGATCTTTTGCTCAAAAAAAATTGTTAAAGTGGTCAGAAATTCCCTAAGATCGTACTACAGAGCGTCTAGAATCCCAATTTTTTTGGGAGCCCCAAATCCACGCTGTTAGAACTTCGCGCTCGCATTAGCTTCTGATCTTCTGATCAAGCGCCATCCCTGAATTTTCACTCTCGGCTCTTATTCAAAGTTGGCAGCCCTGTATCAGTGTTGTAGTTCAGAACTTGCCAGGTCCTCACAAGTCCGTCACAAGTGCCTCGCAAGTCTTTGAGTCCCGAGACAACCCACAAGGTATTCAAACGATTCGAGACCAAGGCCTTCCTGTACGTGTACCTGTCTTCCTGAAATGACATCACAGCAACAGCGCTCTCTGTTGTCCGGAAAAGCATGGGAACTTTTTTAATGTTTAAATAAGTGCACTTTTCAATAAAATTAACCAAAAAGGGATGTCAAATAGTTTCATACATTTAAGAGAAGTGGAAAGTTGCATAAAAAATATTTTCCTAAGAAAGATACACTTCTTTGAGCCTTTAAGAAATTAAACACATGTATTGCTGTGTAGTTGTTCCGTCCAGCACCAGACTAATTACTAACGTGTGTATCAAACGTGTGTGTTTTTGCATTGGTTCCTAACACCAACCCAGAGGCGAGAGGAGGTACAAGACATGCAAGGTTTGTTTGAGGAGTTGCAGGGCCGGCTGGCTCCGTTAATTGACGGCAAGAGCCCGGCGGGACAACGCTCGACGCCAACAAACAAGGACAACGGGGCGGAGTCGGCCAAGGGGAGTAAGAAGGGGAGTGCAGCAGGTAGGGGGAGGACGTCGGCCGGAAGCAACAATGTTAGTTAGCTCAGGAATGCGTTGGGATTTACAGTATCGGGGCTACAAAGTGATTACTTTGATGCTTGGTTGCATTGCTGCAGAGATTGTGAAAATGTCAATCATTACGCGTTCTATGGAAATCACCAGCCTCAAAGCTAAGGGCCACTTAAAGTTGCGACTACAAAAAAAAAATAAGAACTAGAGATACAAGTTAACCAGTTCATGCTGGATGACGTGTATACACGCAAAGGTTTTGCAGTATTCGAAACAGATGACGGATAAAGATGCAGGGAGCGAGGCTGGAAATATCTGTCAGCGACTTGCTCTAGTCCGAAAATATGAGGGCAGAGTTTTTAACAAGCCATAACACCCCCCCCCCTTCCTCCTGGGAATAAAAACTAAGGGAGAAAAATAAAAACAATGTTGTGCTTTAAAATGTAAAGCAGTGTAGACCGCTTTTTGGAAGATTAATCGAAGTGTACTGTTCATTTTGTGTTTTGCTGGACAAAACATTGGGAACAATTTACAAATGTTATGTGTTTGTGTGTGACTTTTTGCTTGTATTTCCAAGATTTTATAACTTGGAAAAAAAATGTAAAAAGCGTGATTTTGACATTGAATTTTGTAACATTAGAATGCCATGCTTGCAACCTAACAACTTCTGTAGATGTTACACTTAACAGAAATCTAAAATGACTCGCTGTGACCCAGTGGAATTTCAAAGGAAACATTTGAAGAAAAAAAAAGGCTTTTTTATCTTGCATTTTTTTTTTTTTTCAAAATTGTCCAAAAAAAAGGTCAGTCTTATCAATTCTGAAGCTCCGTTGTCACATGAAAATCCGACTCCTATGAAAATCGGACCCCTATTTCCCTATTATTGGTTGATCCCTCGCACGTGACAGGTCACCCTCCCGAAACGATCCTAAAAATAGCGTAGTATCGTACTCACGCGTGCGCAGTACTACCAATGAGTCCACATTTCATGGAGTCGGATATTCACGCTACACCGTCTCTGCTTTTAGAGCATCAGTTGGAAAATGATCAAATGTAAAATTTGCCTTAGTTCAAAAGGTGAAAAATGGCCAAATATAACGATGAATTTTCTGCTGTTGTAATGTTTGGTGTTATGAGAAAAGGTACTCACATTTCTGTTTGTGCATTAAAGGTAATAATATACAACATTTGCTTTTGCTGTCGTTTATAATTTGGGGTTTACTTTAAAGCAATTATTGTTGCACTGACCTCTTCAAAGTTTTGTGTTCATATATACTGGAAAAACGAAGAAAAGAATGCTGTTCTTGTAGTCTGGTTACCTGACCCTACCTCAGACGAAACAGCAATTTATGAACGTTGGGGAATTGTAAGGTCAGGGAACTTGACTATCAGGCTTTCGACCGTTGTGTAACTGATCGCAATCGGAATATGGCCTAACTAAAGTACTTGGAAAAACGATGGTCGGCTGGCTATCGTTGGAAATTGATAACAAAAAAATTCACTTTTCTTAAAAATGACAGTACACTAGGTGCCATGATTTCACAGGATGCTTGAGACTATTATTCACTTGCAATCAAGTAACATATTTCATAATGATTTGGTAGTTTTGTTTTTTGATGTTTGTAAATGTACAATAACCTTTAAACTGTTTCTATCAGCATTTGTTTTATTTATCAGTTGTTATTAATTTATCGGAACTTCCAAACAATGTCTTGCTCGTCCAAGTTAACTAGAATGGTTTGTTGACTTCAAATGTATATATTTATACATACATTTTAACAGTTTTTGCTGAAATATTTCTTTATTAACAGGAAGTGTCTGTCCACCATCTTCCGTGTGGTTATAAGTGTGAAAAAAGTCCTTGTGCCTTCTAAAAAATATATATTTACTGTGAATATTTATTGTAGAAATGCTGTAAAAAACATCTGTACAGAAAGAATATTTAGCAACATGGTGATATGGAGTGTTAACGTTGTTTTGTTTTAATTGGCCAATTTCACAATAAGAACAACTACTTATTTAGGGATAGTTAATGTTCTTCTGAAGTGGTGTTTAATTTGGATGGAATTTGGAAAATATAGAAACAGCTCGGTTTACTTTTGATATGAAGATAGAGATTGTTAAGTATGAGTTATTACATTGTTTATTAAAATATTAATGTATTCATTTGGAAAGAATGTTGCAACCTGACGCTACTTGGCGGTTGTGTACAAAGTCTATGGAGAGTCAAGAACATTTTTTTAAGTATTTCCTAACAAATTGGAAATGTTTCTCAGTCCCAGATTCATGTTTTATCGTCATTTTTGCAATGAATGACCTTCATTGAGATGATATATGAAGAAAAAAAGCAGCGTCAGTTTGCAACATTCTTTCCATTAATATATATTTTTGGGGTGATTTCATGGTACTTGAATTTTCGACCAGTTCTACCGGGTGGTCCACATTTGTTTTTACACTTTTCCAGATGCAGATTTTTTGGCATTGGGGAGACATGTAAACATTGTTTCAAGATATTCCTAAACGACAGCATCTTGGTGGCCGGCGCTGAAAATACAGCCTGAATTACGAAATGGCGATGGTTTAAAGAGTGATGGTCAAAAAGCAGTTTGTCCACACGCAAGTCTATGAGATAAAGATCAACACGACGGCACTGCACGCACAAAGAACTGCAATAATTGTACTTAGGTCTACATGACTGCCATAGACGTGGACAAACTAGTTTTTGACCATTCTTGTAGTGGGGCCCGCTCATAAGTCCGACGCCTCATAGGTCCGACGCCTCATATCATAAGTCCGAGAAAATCGCATCCCCCAACCAAATAAAGGCCCATAAGTCCGACACCTCATATCATCAGGGAATTGATCTTCATTGAATAAATTCTGTGGCGAATTCTGTATTTAAATAAGATCGGCTAACAGGTTGCTAACTATATTTATTAATCAATAACTCCACGCATGGAAATGAATTAAAAAAACCACCATCTTCCAGAGGTATAAGAAAAAAAAAATGAGTTTAATTTGTACTGTATTTTGATCGCAGTGTTAGGTAGGCCTGGGTACTGGAAAATCTGGACAAGTCAAGGAATCGTTTTTCATGCAATGCAAACAGGAATCCTCAAAAGGAATGTATTATTGTAAAACTCTTCTTTAAAATTAAGAGGAGCATTACTCGCCTAGTTTCGTTTACCTTACGATATTTTAACTTATAAATGTACAACACACATTTAGTGCGGCAGATAGGTGATGGGATTGTGCCTTTGATGATACAAGCATGGCATTTGGCACACAGTCAAAGTATGTCACAATCTTTCCCATGACATTGTCATGGGAAAGATATTTGGCTATAGGGCCTTCGCAGATTTGTCCTTTGAAAAAAAATAGGTAGAATAACAAGCAATGGCAGTCATTTTGAAGAAAAAAAATGAAAATTGCGTGTAATTCTACCTATATTTTTTTTCAAAAGAGAAATCTGCGATGGCCCTATTCGCTTTTTCACACTCCGATCCGCCATTGGGCATGCAGAGCCTCGATCTGCAACTTTACACAATAAAAATAGCCGGTTCAGTGATCTGAACCCCGGCACGGGAATCACTACCTATTGTGTAAAGTTGCCAGATCGAGACTCTGCATGCCCATGGCGGAAGTGTGAAAAGAGCGAATTGCCAAATATCTTTCTCATGACACACTCTGACTGTGTGCCAAATGCCATGCTTGTATCATGCCATCAAAGGCACAATTCCCCCAAACATTTCCCCTATTTCTGCCCGTAATAAAACAATGTTCGAATGTCATTTTCATACCTAACACTCATTCTCATTCAACACATTATAGTATTTTAAGACAAAGTATAACGATGTATAGAGAATTAAGAACATTTGGTCAGCGGGGTTGTGTCTCGATGCAGCGCTATATAGTCGCCAGTTGCTATGCGAGCACCACCGTCCAACAAAGTAGGCCTATACAATCCATTATGAGTCTAAATATGCATTAAACTCCCTCCCTACCAATTGTGAGCCATTACAGTGCTGGACCGGAGCCCAGTGCACATACAACGGATATTGTACCTAATTCCTGTAATAATTTACTCGCAGTTATTGACATAATCCGCCGGATCAATGGAATATTAGTCCACTAAAGTGGGGGAGCGTGTAGCTTTTTCAGAAACAATTGCCCTGCAAATAAACCACCTCGGATGTTTTTTTTTTTCGCGGTGGTCTAATTTCATTTATGGGGTTTTTCCTTTTTTTTTCCATCATCGATCTGGGGTTGATGTTTGAGAGATGTTTACCGGATTTTGTAGTATCGAATGCTTCCAGACCGTGTGTTTTTGTCTTTTTTTTTTTTTTTTTTTTTTTTTTTTTTGCTAAATGGAACTGCACTTTTGAGTGATATTCATGTGTGTATTTCTGCACCTCGCGTGAATGTTTGACGTATAGGAAGTGTTTTGTTGCGGGTGAGTTTTATTTTTTCAACCACAGCGAGAAACTAACCACTAAGCAGTCACCAGGTTTGTGGGTTGTGACAGTACAACAGGGGTCGAGTAAGTACAAGTAATTATAATGTTCTAGGGGCATCAATAATTGAAAGGGCAGTATGAATAAACTGCATGACCTTGGTGATTACCTCAAAAACACATGAAACAATTATGAACCTGTTGGCTACATTAATCAACACATTGTGTAGAACTACATGTATCTCCATATATTTTATATAAGATGTCTGATCCTTGAAAGTTACCCAGTTCAGTCCTTTCAGAGGACGAGGTATTTTGTCCATGCTCCCTTAATCGAATGACTTAAAAATATTTCAAGGTATGTTTTTTTAAAAGAAATATTTTATAACGTGAAAAGAACACGTTCAAGATAAAACACCAAAGGGTTTGTGTTATACGAGAGCTGACGTAAATTTGTAAGGATTCGGACTCATGATAATAGGTTATTTATTTTCGAGGATGAATACACGTAGTATAGCGTGTCCCAATAAACATTGTGCATGAAGAAGTCGCTGATTTGCTTAAAAGGAGGTCATACTCGCTAATCATATTTTATATTATTATTAAGCCTATGGTCTTGTTTATAATTGGTGAAAATATCAAGAAAATCCACCAATGCAAACCAGAGATATCTTTGTCAAAGACTAAACGCCTGATATTAGGCATTCCTAGTGGCATTAGATTTGATTATAAAATGTTATGTACCCAAAATGTTATCTGTGAACGCCCTTATCCAAATGCATCATAAAAGGCCATGCAATTTTTCAAGCATTGCGTAACACATACCAATAACCCAATAATTGGTATATGCAAGCAAATACTAAGTGTGGAAATTACATTGTGCAGGTCGAAAAATACATAGCCTTACCAAATCAAAGAGATCTCTGGTTTGCATCGTTGGATTTCTTGATTTTTTCCACCATTATTGTAAACATGACCATAGGCTTGAAAATGCTATAAAATTTGATTAGCTAGTCTGACCAACCTTTGAGAAAATCAGCGACTTCTTCATGCACAATGATTAATTGGGACACGTAGTAACATTGTATGGTGAAATAATTGTGAAAGTCCCGGATCTGTAAAGATGCATGTTCTTTTTCTTTCTTGATCGTTTAGCTGAAGAAGGAAATCGCTGATGTTGCTGCAGGCAAAGGTGGCGGTAGTGGAGCAGCCGTGACTGGTGGTGGGAAGAGTCCGACAAAAGGTAAATGGACCTCCAGTGAACCAAAGGCGAGGAGGGAAATAAAAATGATGCTAAGTTTGTATTTATTTATTTACT